GCCTAAGGAGTAAATCAAGAACTATTAGTATTTACCCTTACTCAAAATCTGATTCACCTCCTAAGGAAATAGTATTTTGGTAGAAACAATCGCCCCCTAAAGATACTGCCTGTTTTAGTTAGGGTTACCATTGCTGTGATGGTCAAAGCAACTTGGGGAGGAAAAGGTTTATTTCACTCACAGTTCCATATAACAGTTCATCATCAAAGCAGTGAGGGCAGGAACTCGCAGGGCAGGAACCTGGAGGCGGGACCTGAAGTAGAAGCCATGCAGACTTCTCCTTACCTTCTTGTTCCCCTGACCCAAGGGTGACCCCACCCACAATGCACTGGCCCTCCTGCAATAATCATTAGTTAAGAAAATGTTCTACAGGCTTACCTTCAGCCAGATCTTACAGAGGCATTTTCTCAATTGAGGCTCTCTTTTCTCTTGGGTCTCGTTTGTGTTGAAGTTGACATAAAAGTAGCCAGTACACTGCCCAAACCAGTGAATTTATTATTGTGAAGTCATCTTAGGATCACATGATAGACAACAGAACGTACCTTATGTCTTTTTAAATATGATTTCTAAACTTGAAGCTTAAAAAAATCATCTCTACCATATACTTCTGATTAAACAGAAGCCTTTGAGGTGAAGTGTTAGAATTTACATATCTTTAGAGTTACTAAAATAATGTGTGGCTATTTAGAAATAACCAGTTCAGAAGTGTACTGACTGAAACACAAGCTTAGACACCTTCAGGGGCCTGCCAGGTGTGAGAAGCAGGAGACAGTCCGTGAGAACATCCCAGGGAAGCGGTAAAGCTGAACAATGAGAGCTTGCTGTTTGAACATCCAAATTAGCATTTTTGTCATTGTGTGTGTGTGTGTGTGTGTGTGTGTGTGTGTGTGTGTGTTTTGAGATACAGTCTCACTATACAGCACTGGCTATTCTGGAACTATGTAGACCAGGTTAGCCTATTTTGAGCCTATGCATTATAAGAAAATAACTGTTTATGACCTTGTCTCCTGACAGTGACCCATGAACACAATGCATCTTGATGCAGAAACTTCTGCTTTCTCTGCCTGTATCTCCTTTCTGTGTGATGATCTATCTGGAGGTCCCAAAAGGAGCAAGGCAGGTCAACTGCTCATCTCATTTCTTTCATTGTTCCACAGGGGCCACTTCCAATTGCCTGATATTTAACGTCTTGATAGCCACTGGCCCAAATATTTCACCAGAGTTTTCATGTTTTCTGAAAGACAACAAATCGTCTTCACTACTTGGGTACAAGTGGAGATTCCACTGTACTCTTTTACAAAGTGAAGCTCTTTTGACAAATAGAGGCAGGCAGATCTCTGGGTTTGAGGACAGCCAGGGCTACACAGAGAGACCCTGACATGGGTTTCTCCGGATGGGGTGGGGAGGGGAATCTCACAACCCCACACACAGACTGCCTTTTTTCTTCTTAAGATAATGCCATTCTTTAATAGGAGACATATTACACACACTTCTTTAACGTTCACTAATAGCTATTACATCTAGATTTTCATAATCATCTCAAGACACCTGAGTTCCATTTGTTTAAGAACTTGACCACATTCTTGACTGCTCCGTCTCCCACTTTTCCTGTTTTCTTTATTCTGAAGACACCAGACCCATCTTTTGGATGCGTCACTTTCTGGGCAAGGTCGATTGCTTCCTTGTGCTATCAGGGCATTTGTTCCCATTTCACTTGTTAAGCACAGTGACTGGCTCTAGGCACAATTCTTAAGCTATTTCAAAACTCTTGACATGTCAGAAGAAATGCCACCTCTGACTACTCCTAGCATCTTCTAGAGATGCTGGTATTAGTGGGCTCAGGTGGTAGCAGCTTGAGTCTTCCACTTTTAACTTCTCCATTACCGTTCTAAAATCTTCAGCATTCACTGATAATTGTTGCATAGAACACATCAGTACTTGTGAGTTACTAACACCATTACTGCTTCTGTTTCTGAACTGACTTTCTGAAGAACTTTCTCTCATGAACTAGATCCATTTGTTTACTCTGAAGATGGGGTCCCTTAACCAGATATCACCTAACTGATTGGAGCAGGGAGGGGTGGTGAGCTAATTCTGTATTTAAATGTGTTACCTTAGTGTACCTAAACACCATCCAGAGGCAGGTCTTGTGTAGTGCTAAAAGTTTTGAATAGTATGTTGCTGATGTCAAAGCGTGGGTAAGCAAGGATATGTTATTAATAAATGAATTTGTAATCTTCACCCCTTCTCCTGAAAGCTGTCTCAGAAAATACAGGGCAAACCTACAGTAATGTGCAGACGGGTTTTTTGGCAAGTATTCTTCTCCCACTTTGCAGATAACCACTTCTAAGCCCCTCCTGAACAGAAACCCGAGAGCGCCTACTGAATCGAAGGCTTTCTAAGACCAGTCCTTTATATACTTGAATATGAAAATGACCAGCTCCTCCTCGTCCACTGCTAAGTCTGATCTTCCTACACCGGCCTTTTCAGCATCTAGTACCCTGAGCTTGTTTTACTGCCCAGCAGTCCAATCCATGGTGTTAACGCCTTTCATTTTAGCTATTGGATTAATTTCGCAGGTATACTATATTTGAAATTTTTAATGTACTTTTGCTTTTCTGTTCCACCAAGGCTTTAATTTACCTTGAGGTTTTGAGTATTGAAGCAAGCGTGAAGAAAGGCAATATATAGGTTTTGAACTGGCAGCAAACAAGAATCACTTGTCACCCAAGAGAGGATTTTCTGATTTCCTCCATGGAACACGAAAAATGGCAGTATAGAATACAGGAAAGGATGAAAGGATGTTCCTGGCACCGGTAAAGTAAGGGAAATCTCCCGGTCCTGACCCCGGGAAAGCATGGAAAGGATGAAGACAGAAGAGAAGCAGAAAGGACAATCTCGACAGACACAGGGAGAACTATCGGCCTGCTAGTACTGCACCTAGATCTGCAGAGGGACACTGCACTCAGGACTCCATTCTGGCACCTCTCCCCACACGAGGAATCCAGCTACTTTCCAGACATGACCCAGATGTCAGGTTCTGTCATTCCCCGCCTTAACCTACTCCAGGGCCTACCTGGGCTTCCTTCCTACTCCTTTCTGATCTGTGTCCCCAGATTGTGTAGCCCTTTGTCAAAGTTGTAAGAAGCAGGGGTCTGGAGGGGCTGGGTGTGGGGCATGGAGCTCAGGCAAAGGGGTTAGGACTACTGGGTCAGTGGACTCCCTCAAGATATGGGAAGAGGAGGGCTGGGTATTCACTGGGAATCCCAACACAGCTATTTCTAAAGATTCGAACCTTGGCTTTCCAGCCTTGCTCTTTAGACAATTAGAGGGTAGTGTTGGTGAGTTTGGAGGCTCAGCCCAGAGAAGACTGGACTGGAATACATGCACAGGGAGAGGTGCATACATGTGGGCGAAGAGGAGAATGGGCAGGTGTTAGACACTCACCCCTCTCCCAACACTCCCTAAGACTAAGTGGTTATCTGTAGTAACACCAAGAGCCAGAGCTGGCAAGAAACCAAGTCAGGAGGCAATCTTTTCCAGAGTATAGCCTAAGGTAGAAAATGGAACCCAACTGTGGATGTGTACTCTTTAGTATGACTTACTAGTCTTTACGTTTTCAATTCTGCCACCATGAAGATGTGTTTGTCAACCAAGGAAGATGGAACATGATTGATTTGCTGATAGGTTTTTCAGCATTTAGACATGTGGCATGTAGCATGTTTCTGTGACCTGTTCCTAGAGGTATATCAGAGAGACCTTACGGTCTAGTGAAGCAGACTTTTCATTTATGTTCTGTCACTGTTCAATGGCACTAAGAATACAAAGTTGCTAGGAATATATACAGAAAGGGACAGTGCTTGGAGCATAAAGAACATCTGGAGTTTGGGCACAAACAAAGCAGTAAACATGTTTGTAGGGAAGGGGTCAGGACAGAGGAGTCACAGATAACAGTTGGAAAGAAAGAAGCCTAGTTTGGAGCAAAGACACCAGAGTGCTTTAGGACTATGAAGGAGCCAGAAACATACCTTGGAAGGCCATGTTAGACCAGCAGCAGACAGTCCAGGAGGCACCAGAGAGAAGGCCACAGCAGTAAGCTGTGCAGAGCAGCCCCTGCCCTACAGTGAGTAATACATATTAAACAAGGAGAAAGAGACTAACACACTTAAAAGGTTCCTCTCTAACCTTCCACAAAGATGAGTAAATGAACACTGAGTATATTGCAGAACTAAGTATCTCATTTGTTTACATATTTGAGTACTCACTATATTTTCTATCCCACAGACTCATCAAACTAGCTTTTGGGAGATGGGAGTAAAAAACAATCACATTATTAACTTTGAGTTTACTGTTGAATACAACCCCTATTTTTTAAATATAAAGCTTACAAATAGTTATTGCCTGCCCACTCAAGCTACTTTTCCTGATTCCTGAATTTCAATGTGCATCAGAATCAGTCAGAAGCCGGTGAAAACAGACATGTGTCACCCTGTGCGGTCTCCCAGTCAGCAGAAGCAGGAAACGTGATTTTATGAGATGCTCCAGGAGGATTCACCATTTGCTCCACTGACCTTTTCTCTTGACCCCCAGCTGATTCACCCTGTTGTTGCTGCTGATTCCCTCACTGATGTTAGAACCGGTGATTCTAGGCTTCAGTTGCTGACTTAGAACCAATGTCTCTCCAGGAAGCTTCCATGCTTCTGGCCCCACATTGGGACGATTGAGGCACCAGCCTCTTAAACTAAGCAACTACCGAGTCTCAGGCCCTCAGGTGTGAGACATCCACTGTTGCTATTTCAACATAAGCTAACTTAATTCTTTATACATTTATTTATTAAGGGGGGGAGGAGAAGTAGCAGTAACTGTTAATTTTGTTGATGTAAATGCTTCTGTCTGGAAATCACACATTAGAAACCATTGTTCTAAGTCCTATTAAAGTAGAGACAATTTTCTGATCTTACTTACAGGCATATAAACTCAGCACTCAATATTACACAAACTTATCAGAATGTGTTTTGTGTATTTGTAACAAGGGGTTACCATTTCCCCCAACCAGAGTAAACTCTTAAAGCTGACAGATTCCAATGCGGCAGAAAATATGCACAAACATAGTATCTGGTTGGTGAGTTAATGCAGTTTGTACAGGACAATGTAACAGTAAGTACCAATATTTTTCAAACACATATCCTTGGGCCCAGAAATTTATTTTGTGGGAACCCTGCAATAATCAATCAATGTTTATAGGAACATGCTGAAGTTAGAAACAAACTAAGGACCTCTTAGTAGAATTCTGGTCTAGCATGACAAAGCCCTAAATGCAATCCCTAGCACTATGGAGACTGGGCATGGTGGTGCAGGCCTGTAATCCCAGCAGCTTAGAACCAGAGGCAGGAAGATCAGAAGTTCAAGGTCATCTTCAGCTACACAGAAAATTTGAGAACTAGCTAGCAGATTATTTTCGCAGATGCCTTGGAAGCTTCTTAGGAAGCAACTTCTCAAGAGCTACCAGAATTTAAAATGTGCAAAAGTTTGTCCTAACAATTCCATATCCATAAATTTACCTACTAGGGAGTGTGAAAATACATTCCCAAGCATCTTGCAACATATTTGTAACTGTGAAAAACAAGTCACCAATAATGACAACTTAGGCCTGTTAATCCACATATTAAAAGACATCCATATCATTGAATGATTAAAACTTAAAATATAGAATATACAGTATCTTAGTGCATAGAGCAACATGCAAAGCTTTGAGATAGATGAAACTATACATTCTTCAAGAATTTGTTAATATGTGAACAGTTACAGAGTTGCTTAGGTAACTAGGCACTCAATTAAGTTCCTTTTCTCACTGATTTCAGATGATGCCTTTATTCTAATGTGCTGCTGGGACTATTCTAACATTCCATTCCCCTTGTTTATCACACTATTATTTAATACCAAATTTTTGGTTCATTTTGCAATATATTACAAACACTATGGTGTTTATCTTAACACTTGTATAGTATTGCACTGTATGAATGCATCATAAACAATGTCTTCTCTGCTATGCTTACACACTGGAAGATCCTTGAAGCACATAATCTAAACCTGTAGTTATGAGCAAAGTGTGTACGCATTCAATTGATAACTTTTGCCAACACACTCTGTGTCTGGCACGGCTGGTTTCTCCTCACTTTCTCAGTTTTAATGACTAGTCTAATATGTTCTCTCAAGTGACAACAAGCATAGCATTTATTGCAGTGGCATTACATTTACAAACTAACCCAAGAAAATTGTTTGATGCTGTCTTCCTATTAACAACAAGGCACACTCTTGTTCCAGACTATTGTCTCCCAAGAGTTTTTATCTAAAACAGGATTTTCTTATGTAGATATATGAACATATCTGAATGAGTTCATACATGAGTCTTTTGTATCCCAGCAATCACAGAGATCTTGAGGTATGTCTTCTAAATGGTTTAGGTTTATGTAGATATATCTGTGAAGTCTTTTTTTTTAACTAAACATTTTTATTGAATTGTATTTACACACATAGAACAGTACACAAAGCACGATTGATGGTACAGCTTGGTAAATACTCATAAAATGAATGCACCCATGTAACCAGCACCAGAGAGCCCTTGTATTCTTTTCTAGGGCAAAGAAGCCAAGTAAGACAGTGTACACCACATGGTTGCACTTATAGAAAGCTCACTGTGAGCTCTGATAGCACTTGCTTTTGGAGAGGGAGGAGGTGGCTGAAAGAGGTGATTTCTGACAACACTTGGCTCCATCGTGTGGAACTGTGGAAATGCAGTCCTTATGCTGCCTGCACATTAACTACTGCTGCCAATTAAGTTCTTTTATGGTTTGGTGTCTCAACAAATACCTTTGGATTTTTCAAGTAGATGATCCTATCTGCCCAGTTTGGACTCTTCCTGACTCATGTCTTTGTGCTAAGTTCCTTGGCTGAAAGTTCTCGTGTGGTGTTAAGTTGTAAGGGAGACAGGGAGACAGTAGGCAGAGTCTTGTTTTGGCTTTGTAAGAAAGGCTCTTTGGATTCAATGGGAGGATGCTTGCCTCTACAGTAGAGATGCAAGGTTAGAAAAGTTTGTAATAGTTTCTGATATGAGTGCTTAACTCTACCAAATCAAATGGTCTTTTCTTTAACACCATATTAAGATTGTCTACAACTGAATTATCCTTGTATTCCTAATACAAACTCAACCAAGCTGCGATTTTATTCCCTCCTCCAAGTGCTACCAGGTTGTGGGCCTAACAAATCAATAATTTGTATTGATATTTATGTTTGTGTTTCCAGGTGTGTGGAGGCCTGAAATCAACCTCAGTTGTTCTTCAGATTTTCATGTTAGGTTTTAAATTTATCATTACTTGTGTGTGTGGGCACATGTGTCATGCATGCATGAAGCCACAGGACAACTCTGTGGAGTTGGTTTTCTCACTCCACCTTTACATGGATTCTAGGAAATCTAACTCAGATCGTCAGGCTTGTGTAGCAAGAGCCTCTACCCATTGAAACAGCTCACCTGTCTCACCTTACTCTCTAAGCAGGGGTTATCACGGGGACTTGGTGCTCATCACTTAGGCTGGGGTGGCTAGCCAACAAGCCCCAGTCATCTGCCTGTTTCTCAATGCTGGGAACAAGCGTTCAACATCAAGCCCAGTTTTTCCCTTGGGTGCTGGGATCAAATCCAGGTCTTCATGATTAAGTGGCAAACACTAATAGAGCTATCGCCACAGTCTGTGGAGATATTAGCAAGTCTGAATGACCTAGAACTTCCCTTTTTTGAGTAATCTTTGTTGTGGTTTAAAATTAATGTCATTACACCAACTCTACAAAGAAATAATTTTCTTTTCTTTAGTAATTTAATATTCAAGATCCCTTTTCTAGTCTCTGGAATTATTAAAGCAATGCTGAGATTCTTCAGTCTTGCAGGATTGCACAATGGTCTTTTATTTGCATTTCCCTATGGTAGTTGTATTCTCTGCATTCGATTTTATCAATTTGCACTTTGCTCTAAAAACTACACCTTTAAGAAAAGTTGAAATCAGTGTGCTTACTGCCTTTTCCCTTGTCATTTAAGCTTCCCTACATGCTCCTCCGGTGTCTTAAGAGGCTCGCTAGTGGGCTATCTCCCTGAGCATCCTTGCCATGCCAAAGAAGGGGCTTCTGCATTTCTTACCTTTAGACTAATTGCCTTTTGCTTTTATCTTTCTGCCTCCTTTCCCTGCTTGGTTTTATTTTGCTCCCTGCTCCAATTCTGAGACCATATGTGTCACCACAAAAACTCTATGCTGTTGTCACTGACTTTCTCAAGATTTCAGGGGCCTTGGTCAGGTTTACTCGTCTGGGCGGACACCGCTCTAACTTTGGGAACAGAATGCTCACCTGCTCTTTTCTTTAAGTCATTGTTTAGAAGGGTGGGCTGCTCCAGAAATGGCTCCATCTTCCCAGCACCCTTCCTTTCTGTGACTCAAATGATTGTGCAGGCCTGTATTTATGCATCTGCGTCTACAGATCTTTCCTCCCAACATTTATTTTAGCTATCTCTCCTTTATGCCCATGCCTATCCTGTCCAGTTTGGATCCTAATTCTAGTACTTTCTAACCAGTGTTGTGCTTTGCCTCATTAATCTCAAAACATACACAGCATCAGACCAGGCTGCTCTATCTACTGTTATCAAGACATCCTCCACTGCCTCACACTCACAGACCGCTGACAGGATTCTGTAGAGCGCTTCCCAGTTTCAGCCTTTATTTTCACATTGGCCCACTGCCCTCTGTAGTGAAAACAAGGCAGCACCACAGCTTCTCAACCTGCAGGGCTTCAGAGCCCAGCTGCTTCTCTCCCATATCCTCTGCACAGAAGGAGAAACCCTGGGGTGAAACCATGCAGGTCACATTTGTTCTTTCACTTGTATTCTGAAGCTCACAGGGGTGCCACCTGTCACCTAGTTTAGTTTTGCAATGACTTGATATTCCTTCTGTTACTTATGGGGAAAGCTAAAAAACTACTGTTGGCAGCATCTTCCTTCAGTTTAAACTATGTTAAGATTTCTATTGAAACTTAAAAAACACTTTTACCGTCATATGAAAGTATAATTAGAAACCTGCTGTGCAAAGTGCTTTTTAATATACTACCTCATTTAATCCTGAATCAGCCTAGTGAATGAAATTCTATTGCTTACATCATTTTACCAATAGAGGAATTGGGTCCAAGCTCATGGCCACAACGGGCAGATAGGTGCTTTAAACCTCAAGTCATCTTGCTTCAGATGAACCCCTCATCACTCAGTTTATCAAATACTATCAGGTCTGACACTTCAAATTATGACCATTGTCAGCAAATTTTAAAATTGGACTTTATTACTTATAAATACCTATTTAAAACTCTAATAAAAACAAGTGTTACAGGTCAAACCTGAAACTGGAGGTGATAAATAAATGTTTCTTCTACTGCTCTTCAAAAGTACAACAGAGGAGACGGAGAGAGGCTGGATAAGAGGGAACCATGCTGAGCTGCACTTCTGAGCGTCATGTTTCTCCTCTTACTACGCCACTACTGCTAGAGAACAGATTACACGTGAAATTTATTTTAGTAATAAACAGCTTCTTAGACACGACTATTTAGGAAAAACTAGAAATAGTTTTTCCATACTTCAAAACAACTCAGTCTCTTTTGGCTGATATGTTTCTATGAAAGACATTCATTGGTCTATAAAGTGTCACATGGAACCTTGCCTCTTACAGTATATTATAATTATTCTGCCATTAATATTTCTTTGCCAGTAAATCACTCGAGTTTGAAAATATAAATTACTTTTATGTTATAAATCTTCTATTTATTAATAATCAATTTTCTTACCTTCTAACAAATTGGCAGCAACTCAGGAAAAACCCTGGCTCCTGATACACACCTAGTGCACTTTCATACACATTGTTTCAGGTCTTAATGTCTAAGAAATAACTCAGTTGGAGACAGCATTGTTGTTATTTGCTTAGATTTAAACAGAAGCAACTGGAATAAGGTGTGGGAGGATAACATTGCTGGAAAGCTTTTCTCCCCACCACTGGAAGAGTTATTTCTAATAAGGATTTGGTTGGTTTGTTAGCTTTGGGGCCAAGGATCAAAGTCAGGGAACCCATGGCCTTGTGAACACCAGGCAGTGGGCTAGATCCCAGCACTGTTTTATTTGACTTTGCAAACTCAATTCTAAAACTAGCATGCCCATAAGTGATATATTATTTTTAATCATATGATAGGTTTCCCTTTACAAGTATTTGTATTAAGGAAATGTCTCTTTAGTTTAGGAAATAATGAAAATGCTATTATCTACCCAGTGACACTAATAATTTAGTTTTTACAATGATGTCTGTAGATTAATAATACAACTTTTATTACTAGCAAGGGTAACACACCTATTTCTTTTAGTGAAGACATTTCCTCTTGTCATCAAGTCATGGATGTGATTTGTTGACAAGTGATTGCTAACAAAGGATTTTATACCAGCTTCTTTTGGTTGTCAGTTCACAGAATTGAGACACTAAAACAAGACAATGAATAAGTAAAACCAGTTTATCCCCTCTAGATGGATATATTTCCCTCCCACTTAGCCAAAAATATAAAAATATAAATGACTATGTATACTTCAGTGGTTCTGTCTGTATTTAAAGATTTATCAAACTTGAAAACATTAGAAAATTATTTACAGGTTGAGTATCACTATCCAAAATGCTTGGAACCAAAAGTAATGTTTCAGATTTTAGATTCTGTTTTCAGATTTTGGAATACACATACTTTACCTTGTGGATGGAAGTGCATTTATTTCATACACTTCACTCAGTTGATTCAAGTAGTTTTATATGCTATTTACAGTGTCCCTGAAATTCACATGTGACCTGTTGCAGGAAGTGGTGGAATTTCCCAATTCTGTCATTCTGTCAATGAAAAATTTATAGATTCTGGAGCATTTCAAATAATGGATTTTATTATTTTTAATGCTGCTGTTTTCATTTTGTTTTTTCAGGACAGGGTCTCACTATGTAACTCTGGTTAGCCTAGAACTTATTACATAAAGTAGGTTGGCCTTGAACTCACAGAGATCAGCCTGCCTCTGCCTTTTGAGTGCTGACCTTAAAGGTGTGCACCACTCACTGTGCCTAGCCCAGATACTGAATTTTGGATTAAGATGCTCAACCTGGTGAATGGGAGATAAAGCAGCTAACTATAGCGGCTACAAAACACTGGAAAAAAAAAAAGGAAAAGAAAAAAGAAAACATCCAACCAACTAAAAAGAACTTAGTTGTAATCGTATAATTTACAATGTTGTGAACCTCAGAAGAATAGAACACTGAGTGTTTTTTTCCTAGATAGCAAAGATTATTTCCTCCCTTGCCCCTGACAAAAGGCAGTCAATGATTTGGGATTAAAACAGAACATGACAGGTACTCACCCAAGAAACCTCTTATAAAGACACACAACACAGAACATTCTCTTTCATAATTACACAGTTCATTTTCTTCTCCCTCAATTATGTAGTACTCTCTCTTTAGAAAACTATAGTATTAGTTAAGTCTATTTCTTCTTACTATGAACTTTTAATTTCATCTGTATAGGTTACACAAGTCTAGTTGGCACATCTTAAGAATAACACAAAATATGTTATTCTTGAAGAAAATTGAGACCATCTATTTTTAGAGAATAATCCCAGATACTTAATTCAATAAAGCAAATCTTACCATCAGCAGTAGAGATTTTTAAGTGACCACTAAATGCTCACCTGAAGATTATCAATGCCATATGAAGTGTAAACTTGAATATTTGTGTCCATTCTGTAAGCCAGAACTTGTACTGAAGAGTTTTAAGAAAATGACCTACATTAATATATATATTAATCTGCCCCAAGAAACTTCTCAAAAACAGTATAAACATTTAAGAACCACAACAGAGTCGTGCTGAGGTCCAAACTTCAACAAGGACTTTCTTGAAATCTGGTACAGTGGTCAAAATTCAAGACCACATCCTACAGTGTTAGCAGTACAAGCTTTGACTTAAGACTACTCCTTAGAAAAGAGCACACTTGGTTACACATGGCTTTTAACCTTGAGCTACAGTTATGCTACAAGCCCATTCATCCCCAGGGTCACTCAAGTGGAAACGTGGACACTCTCCGGGCACTCTTCAGAGTCCTTGGTCTTCCAGCTTTGATGGAGATCTCGGAGGCGCTCAGAAGTCCGTGTGCTTACATTGAGAGCAGGATGAACCTTACAGATCCCACTCTCCTCCATTAGAGACAGGCCACAGATCCCGAAGTACGCGTGCAAGGCATCTGAAAAGGCATTTAGAACCATGATCAGCATTCTTATTTGCACATACTGCAAAGTGTCCACTGCTAATCATGACATAAAAAAATTAGAATACTACTTTTTGAAAGAACTAGTCTCAATTTCAAGTACCATTTTAAAAAGCCAATCAAAATCATGTATTGTATTACTGAAATTACTATTAGAGGTGTTAGTATTCAGGCATCTTTATTGGCCTGCCCTCGGGGTTCTGACAGGATATGCCCTCAGGAGCAGCCACTAAGAGGACCACATTCCCTTTTAAAGGGGCTCAGCCCACCTCCCATCTTTCTCTTCTCTCTCTGTCTGTCCCTTCTCTCTCTGCCTCTCTGCCTATCTGTCACGCCCCCCCCACACCTCTCTTTTCTCTTCTGCTGCTCCTGTCTCCAGAGGCTGGTATCCCCTCCCCTCCCCTCTTTTCCCATTTCCTTTCCCCTAATAAAAAACCCTTTAACGTGAGCTCTGTTGCATGGTATCTTTTCCTCATACTACTTTTTAAATTACAATAAGAGGAACATATCACATGACTTTCTTGCCCATGTTCTCTAAGGATTTGAATAGCGATGCCTTCTGCTGACCACAAAATATCGAGGAAAAAAAATTCATATTACGAAAGAAAATTTTCCTTTCATTTTCAATTTTGTCTTTATGGTGCTAAGTGTACCAAGGGCCTACCAAATGGTAAGTACATCACCCTTCACCACTGAGCTATAACCAGAGTCCTAGAAAGTTTTCTAAAAATGAAAACAAAAACAGCAGCAACACCTGTTGTCCCACCCGAGCTTTGTCCCAACAGCTCCTAAGCATACACCATCACTGTGTGGAGTAAACAGAACTCCTAAATATAGATCACTGTGTGGAGTGAACAACTCCTAAGCATACACCAAAACTGTGTGGAGTCAACAGAACTCTTAAGCATATAACAACACTGTATGGAGTAAACAGAACTCCTAAATATACACTATCACTGTGTGGAGTAAACAGAACTCCTAAATATACACTATCACTGTGTGGAGTAAACAACTCCTAAATATACACTATCACTGTGTGGAGTAAACAACTCCTAAATATACACTATCACTGTGTGGAGTAAACAAGTCCTAAGCATACACCAACACTGTGTGGAGTAAACAACTCCTAAATATACACTATCACTGTGTGGAGTAAACAAGTCCTAAGCATATACCAACACTGTGTGGAGTAAACAACTCCTAAATATACACTATCACTGTGTGGAGTAAACAAGTCCTAAGCATACACCAACACTGTGTGGAGTAAACAGAGTGAAGAGTCCACCTGGAGAACTGTGCCGTTTCTGCCCTGACTGTCCTCACAGACTCACTTTCTATGTGACGACCCCTCTGCCCTACCTAACCTCACTAGTCCCCCAATTCCAGGGAGACACAAGCCTCTGCTTCATGAAAACACATGGCCTCTGTCTGCCTGAGAACCTTATATAGACCTCAGAAGTGCTCTGAACTCTGTAGTTACACTAACACTACAAAAAAGTTTCATAGCAACCAAGAATACTTTTCTATTTTTGAAATGGCTAGCATTTAAGATCCTAGAGCTACTGAAATTCAGAACATCTTACCAGGTCTAACTCTGGCTCACTTTCCTCTAACTTTCAGAGTAAAAAAAAAGAAAAAAAAATCCCTGTTTTTTATAGTTACTCTAAAGTTACAAGGTGAATAAAGCAGTATTAACCTTGTTTAGAAACCAGAAAGTTTTCAAGGTAATGAAAACGTAAAAGAAGGGGCTGGAAAGACAGCTCAGCAGTTAAAGAGCACTGGATGCTCTTTCAGAGTTGCAGCAACCACAGCTCACAACCATCTGTGCCTCCAATTCCAGGGGCTCTGATACCTTTCCTGGCATCTGCAGGTGCTGCAAGCATGTGGTGTACAGACAAAAATAAAGGCAAAATATTCCACATACATAAAGGTGACTAGCAAGGAATATAACACAAATTGAGAATAATATAAATTGGATCATGTATAAAATCTAAATCTCTCCATATTAAGATTTTTTTCTCAAAAGAAGTTTTCTAAAAGTCAGAAATCAGTACTTAATTTCAAACTTCAAATCATTAAAACTGCCCAAAGAATCCAAAACCCAAACCCCTCATCTGTCGGTACTGTTATATACTTCCTTTAATAAGCCAAAGGCATTCTCCACAAAAATAATAAAGGTCCTGGTGCCGAATTTGCTACCAATTTTACTAAAAGCAAGTTAAGGCACTCATCTGATGGTTCTCCTAAAGGCTCACTAAGGAGGCCCTGCCCTCAGACCCTCGATGTGACAGTATGCAGGTTCCAGGGACACAGGTCTCTAAGTCATCAGCACACCCACGTGAGGATACAAACACTAAACTTAGCAACCAATCTCTCTAGAAAAAAAAGCTTCATAAATTTCCCCTGAAACATGGAACTGGGAAGCTAAGTCTGGTGGTGGTCCACACCTTGAAGCCTGCACTTGGATGGCAAAGGCAGGAGAATCAAGACTCAAGATCATCTCTGGCTATATGGTGGGTTCAAGAGTAACCTAGGCCACATCATAAGACCCTGTCTCAAAAACTAAAGCAACTGAACAAAAGGCCCACAAAATAAAACTCCATGATACCAGAAATAATTGGTATTTTCGAATATATGAGATGCTTTCCAAAAGATTGCATTTCTTATTTCCATTATTTGTTAAAACATTGCCAGACTGACAGCAAAAAAAGATGGCACCAGGACCAAAATAATCACCAGATCTCTTAAGACATCAAACATATTTACAGCTATGTGTTATACATACCAAAATCCTCAAAACTGTATTTTGTTTTGAAAATTGATTTGTGAGACCATATATTGGGCATGCCTCTGAAGCAGTCAATGTTTTCTCTAAGAAAGACTGTTTTACATTGGGGGGAGGCAGGTGTCATTTTACTGTGAGCACAAAAATATGGTCTCCTGAGCCTCTTCTTTACATTTTGACTCAAGTACACACTCCAAGAACAGAAGCTCTATAGAGATGAGCAGAAGAGCACTTCCCAATGCTATGATAATCAAGGCCACAACTCTATGACTGTGCTGCAATGCCCATGCCTTGGAGCTAGGTATGTATGTTATAGCTAATCCTCCAATAATATGTTAATCAACCATGCCAGTACTGCCAATTACTTTAGCAGTGATTTTTATAGACAAGCTGCAACAGGCTCATTTTGCTCGAGTAAAACCTAAGTGGGGTGAGTAAAAACTGGGAAGGACACTAGGGAGGGGTGCTAATTTTTGAGTGTCAGTCATACGGTCTAGAGCATTTTAGGTAGGAAGCATGAGAAGTCAGAAATTATGGTACTCATCTAAATAAATTAACCAAACCCACAGTAGTGGCCTTTCATCCTAGCACTTGGGAAGCAGAGGCAAGGGATCTATCTCTGTGTGCTTATGGCCATCCTGATCAGTGAATTCCAGGCCATCTGGGGTTACACTGTAAGACCCTGTCTTAGACAAAAAAAAAAGCTAACTGAAACTGCCAAAATTCGGAGGATAATAATATAGGCAGCAAGGAATACCTGTCTATTCAGGATTTGAGAAAGTTTATTAAGTTAGTATATGTTCACTGTACATAGTAAGTACATGCTCATTGACACATATTACGTGTACCCTCCTTTCTCCCCAACCTGACAGTCTCTTCTGCTTTATGTCATATGCATATGAATCATCTCCTATGTCGATAAAGCCAAGGATCCCAAGTGAGGGAGAACAGGGACAGTTATGTATGAGCCGGTGCATTCTGCTTAATATGAGGATCTCCAGTTACATCCATTTTCTATCAACAATGTAATATCATTCTGAATAAACTGCATTGGGTACATATACCACATTCTTTACCCATCTGTCTGTTGATTGACACCTAGTCTGGGTCAATAACTTAGCTATTGAGGACACAAGGTTACTGAAGCCTCTCTTGTTACCTTACAGTTCTTTGGGTATACATCCAGAATTGGTACAACTGGGTCAAATGATAGACCGAGTTTTAGTCTGCTCTCCATAGTGGATGGAATCATTTATGTTCTTGTTATTTGTTATAAGAACAGCCACTTTGATTAAGGTGAGAGGGAATCTGGATGTACTTTTACATTTCCCCAATGACTAATGATGCTGAACCTGGGTTGTTTGGCATTTTTGGTATTTAGGTTTCTAAGTTCTTTATGTATGTTAGATATTAATTCTCTTTCAGAAGTATGACTAGTGAAGATACTTTCCCATTCTGTAGGCACTATTTGATATACTGTTTCCTCTGTTGCACAGAAAGAATTTAATTTCATGAGATCTTGTCAATTGCTGGCATTATTTCCTTGCTCTAGGTAAGAATTTAAAACCCTAAAGATTGGAGAAAGTCCCTAATTTTAGCAGAAATGCTTTGAGTTTTTCAATGTTAGTTGAAGCTGTGCTCTGCACAGTCTTTTTTTGTTTTTTGTTTTTTACGAGACAGGGTTTCTCTGTATTGTTTTGGAGGCTGTCGGTCCAGCCCAGCCTCGAACTCACAGAGATCCGCCTGCCTCTGCCTCCCGAGTGCTGGGATTAAAGGCGTGCACCACGACCGCCCGGCTTCTGCACAGTCTTTATTATGTTGAATTACATCTCTTTTATTCCATGCGTCTTCAGGGCTTTTATCACAAAGCAATGTTAGACTGTGTCAAAGTCTTTTCTGCATGTATTGAGATGATCTTGTGACATCTATTTTTGAGTTTTAATTATGGGATATAATATATTTATAGATGTGTGTGTTGAACTGTCATTGCATTCCTAGAATGAAGTCTATTTGCTCATGGTACATGAATGTTCTGTAAAGCAGGGTCTCATGTATGACAGACTGGGCTCAAACTCAATGTATTTCCAAAGATGACCTTGAACTTCTGATTCTCCTGCCTTCACTTTTTATGAGGTGGTATTACAAGCATGCATCATCACATCTGGTTTACATGTGCTAGAGAGATCAAATCCAGGGTTGCATACATGCTAAGCACTCTAGTAACTAGCTACATTCAAGCCCTTGAGCAGTATTTTTTAATGTGTTGATGAATTTGGCTTTGAGAATTTTTTTAAAACTTAAAAGTCATTCTTGTTTCCCGCAGGACTCAGTGTCCTGGTTAGCTTTACTAACTTGAAATAATCTAGAATCACTCAACTGAAGAATTGTCTTGTTCAAATTGTCCTGCTGCCATGTTTGTGGGTAATTGTCTTGAGTGCTGACAGGTGAAGGAGGGCCCACTGTGGTTGGTAACATCCCTGGGCAGGTGATCCTGGGCTGTATAACAAAGTTAGCTTGGCCAAAGGTGGTAGTATATGCCTTTAATCCTAGCACTTGGGAAGCAGAGGCAGGCATTGGGTTTGAGATCAGTCTGATCTACAGAGTGAGTTCCAGAACTGCCAGGGCTACACAGAGAAACCCTATGTCAAAATGTCAAAAAACAAGCAAACAAACAAACAAAAACGCAAGCAAGCTAACTAGCTAGCCTGAACAGAAGACAGTACAAGGCAGAGAGTGAGCCAGTAGACAAGTGTCTCTTAAGTGACTTCTCTCAATGATGGATTGTAACCTAGCTGAATAAGCCAAATAAACCCTTTCCTCTTCAAGTTGCTTCTAGTTAAAGTTTTACTACAGCAACAGAAAAGCAAATTAGAATACCATTAGCTTGAGTCACAGTTAATGATTCTGAAGTCACAGCTAATAACCCTGATGTTTTAGATGAGCCAAATAATGCCTAGTTTTGAATAGGACCCATTCAGAGCATCTGCCTTACTTTTGCACATGAAAGAAAACATTTGTAAGTATTGGGGGCATAGGGGATGCATACCTTCCTGACCATTTGCCCTCTCTTCATGCTACTCATGCCTTAAATTTGTCTTAAATATCTTTATGCTTTTTATTTTGGGTGTGGGTATTATAGATTTATGCACATGTAGAGGTCAAAGGACAACATAGGGGTTGGTTCTCCCTTTCTACCATGTTGGTTCTGGGAACTGAAACCAGGTCACCAGGTCTGGCAGCTGGTATATTTACCAACTGAGCCATTTCACTGGCCTGCAGACATAATCTTTTACAAAATGTATATTTACTGTAATGTGAGAACTGTGGTAATATTTTCTATCGATTACAATTTCTGAAGAAGACATACACTTACCAGATCTACTCAAGAAGTAAAACCCATGCTGCTTTAGATTCAAGCCAAATGTAATTACCTGGATGACTGTCTGGCCATTTGGCAAATCCCCCCACAAGGCGATCCTGAGTTGATAAGATGTAATTCCTGTTCTTCTCAAAGTTAGTGTACTGGAAAATTTTCAGAAGCTAAAAATAAAATGACAAAAATTAACAGGCACAAAACTTCCTATTGGCTTGTGGGTCACATTTCAGCTATTGATCATAGGGATAGGTTTTTCTCTAGCTCTCACAGCAAATCTCTGGGGACCTGAGCACTTAAATTAGCCAGCTACAGTTATCTTTTATTTTCTTAGCAAGCTTATTAGCAAGAAGGTTTAATATTGTCAAGATATGACTTATACCCAGGCACACCTATGGATTCAGTAATTTTCTACTAAAATTATACACACACACACACACATATATATAGAGAGAGAGACAGACAGAGACAGAAAGAGAAAGACAGACAGAGACACACAGAGAGACAGAAAGACAGAGAGACAGAGAAAAACATAGAGGCAGAGAGAAAGGAACATTACTCAGACATAAAAAGGAAATTTTTATATATACAAAATGGATGGCTCCTAACATTATGCTATGGGAAATAAGGAAGAAAAGAAGAAATGTTGCATTATTGCATTTATATGAGTGTGATGACTTACAATGTCAACAGGATCTAAAGTCAACTAGTGGCAAATCTCTGGGTGTGTCTGTGTCTGTGAGGAACTATCAATATTAGGTTAACTGAGATGGGATTCCCCTTCCCTCATTGTGGGCACACTATTTCCCCAGGCTAAGATCTTGGACTGCTGTGTTTCATGATTGAGGACAAATGTGACCAGTCACTCCCGGGTCCTGTGGCCAGGCCCTCCCTAACTCCCAGAACTCTAAGCCTAATCCAATCTTTCCTTTTTAAGTTACTTTGCTCAGTTATTATAACAACATGATGAGATTTCCCTGAAATGATACATGAAGATAACACATACAACAGTGACTACAGGAGGCTGGGGGAGAGGACAGAGAGACACTCCGGATAGGACCAGAGGCCATATACACAATGGCAGTGGTAGTTACATATTATTTTGGACATCACTATTACTAGTGGATTATATACAAATGGTTAAACTTCTAAGCATACTAAGCTATAGCTCACACAATGAAAGAAAAGTTCACAGAACTTTGTAATGGAACAACCAGCTTTGACAACTCAGAGCCCTGTGACCAAAAGGAGACAGCTTAGTATTGGGGGCTTCCGGTGTGATGTAACAGGAAACACCACCATCACCAAGTGATATTAGTGTGGAGAGCAATTATGGCTCATTTTTAGATGTGGTACTGACACTAGTGTGTTGTTTTCTTGAGTTATTTTCATTTAGAGAACATATTTATGACTCTGCAGACAACAAGACAAGGCTGTCTTGAAGTCAACACAGTTATTGGGAGCAGTGTACATGCAATTGGTGACGGACAGCTGCTTTGGAACCATACTGAAGCATGAGCGATGCATGGAGCCCATTACACTACCTACTCTATTTTAAGTATGTCTGCAATTTTCATGACTAAAAACAGTACAGACATTTTTAAAGTGGTGTTAGAAGTAAACAGATAGGATATTACCTTCATTTTAAACCAGTCTCTTTTCAGATTCCTTTCAACCACACACATGAGGGAAAAAACAGGATATTACACACAAGATGAACACAAACTCTTGTTATAGTCAGAACATCTCACATTTCAAGATGCAAATGATGGAGATAACAGCTCAGTGACTTTACGTAGCAAGTCCAATCAATGAAATTTGGAAGTTTTAGGCAAAACAAACAATAGGAAGGAAAGAAAGAAAAACGTTAAATGAATTTCCAGCAAATGTCCTACAATTACCTTTTAAATTAACTCCCTATTTTTGGGTATGACTCCCAGAACAATCCCTGCTGTACACGTTCTAGTCAGCTTTATTAACAAGGTGCCTGGCCTCATGTGTACGTAACAAGTCCTCCACAAGTTTTAAGGGTATATAACTATCAAGGGCTTAGGTGCCTCAATTCCATGGCCTCTCTTACCTTTAGAGTTGCTCCCACCCAGAATGAGTAACAGGTGTCAACGGGCTTATTAGGTCTTCCATGGTATCCATTCTGCTGCCTCATTATACACCACCTCTTTATCCTGTTTAGTTCTTTTTCTGAAAAAACTTCTTCCAGTTTGCCCATCAGGCACAGTGACGCAATGCCACAAAAGGTGGATCCTCCTGATGATCAAAACACAAACTGTAAACTTCTGCTCAGGTGTCTATAGGCCTAAGAGAGCTGTATAAAATATTGGGAGAAGGGGAATGGTCCTGTTAGCCTATAGGACAGTGAAATAAAATTTAACACAGAACTCAAAACACTAAACAGTGAAGTCTTCCATATCAACTGATAAAGCAGAATAAAATTTAAACTAATTTAAAGCTATAAAGGACATTGTACTTTTGAGCTTGGACCAAGATCAAGGACTCTGTTCCAAATTACAGGATTTACACCAGAACAAACCCCTCAAGTCTTGTTTTTAAGTTCCTTTATGTCCACGGGTTCTGCATTCAGGGAGGTAACTGAGAATTCAAACTATTTGAAAAGCAAATGGCTTCTATACAGACTTTTCTTCTGATTACTCCCTGCCCAATACAGCAAAGCAGTATTTACATGGAGCTAGGCATTATTGTTGTAATTAAAAAAAAAAAAAGCAGCACTTGAGAAAGATGCCATTTGACAGAGCTCATGTGGAGAGCTTTTTATTAGGGGAAAGCAAATGGAAAGGGGGGGAGAGGGGAGAGCAGCCTCTGGAGACAGGAACAGCAGAAGAGAAGAGAGGCAGAGAGGGAGGGAGGGAGAAGGAGGAGAGGCAAAGGAGGAGAGGAAGGGAGGGAAAGGAAGAGAGAGGGAGAGAGAGAGGGAAAGGGACAGGGACACAGGGCCCTTTTAAAAGGGAACATAGTGAATGTGCACAGGTGGTGCTCTTAGTGGCTGCAGCTGAGGGCGTGTCCTGTCAGAACCCCAAGGATAGGCCAATACAGATGCCTGAATACTAACAATTACTACACAAGAGATTTAAAGGCAGGGGCAGTAGCATAGGTTCTATGCAGAGTAAACTCATTGTTTAATGGCTTTGTTAGTTTTATGAATGCTACAAGCATTCATGTTTGGTAGTTATTGGGAAGAATCTGTCCTCTCAAACATGGAACTTGAGGTAGTTAACAAGCATGTAGTCAGAGGTACAGATGGAAACTAAGTACAGAGGCATATAAACAGGCTAATTCCATACTTAAACACCATACCAAAAAAAAAAAAAAAGATAAGTAAGTTCGCAAGAGCTTGGTGTTCAAAGGAAATTAATACCAAAGAGTTAACATTTCTGTTCTGGATTAAGAAGTAGAGATAATTAAAAAGAATCACAGAATCAAATTAATTTATATGAGCTTCCTATTAGGAATCTTTAGAGACAAAAATAATTTTGCCTGAGCAAACTCAGATAGCTCAATTTTTACAGAACATTAAAACTATACCTCAAAGTGTCTGCTCCTGGTAAATTAGTGAGATAAAGTGAGCAGTACACTTGATGATCACGGTTGGTCACCATTTGCCTGGTCAGTCTCTCTGATTACATATCCAGACCAAGTAAAGGACAGTAATGAGACAACAGACTTAGAAAAATGAGAAAAAAGAAAATCCCCCAACCCCAACCCAATATTACATATTCAGACTGAGGAGAAAGGAATAAACACTCCTGAAAAAGTCAGAATACCAGTAAGCAGAAACAGACACTTCAAACTCAACTTTCCACGCACGGGATACAAAGTGCCACAGAGGACAATCGATTCAACTCACACAAGTGTTACAAGTATAATGGAGGTGAGCTCAGGAGATCAGATGGAAAGACTCATTTACAGTCTAATGGATAAACACTGACAAATGACCAAGTTTCACCTAACAAGTTACACTGAAACAATGAATGGAAAGGTAAAACCCAAACAAAGGGATACAAGCAGAAGCAGGCACAATGATCACAGGCCCTAAACAAAGAAAGACAGCAGAGAGGCAGCAGGCGCGAGAGAGCGCCAGTGGTCTCTCCACAGCCCAGGGTGAGCTCTGAGCACAGGCAGGCGTGCTACTCCAGCAGTCACTCTGCTCCTGAGAGTCCAGTCCAGGCTCCCGGTGAGCGGTGCAATGGCTAATTCCAGTTGTCAATTTGATAGGATTTCATTTACGTTTCTCCATTATTTTAGCTGAGGGGAAGGCCCACTCTGGCGAGAACACCATTCCACAGCAGCGTTCATCTCCCTGCTTCCTACCTGCAGGTGTGATGCCTCGTCTCCATCTCCTGTCACCATGACTTCTCCATGGACTGTGCCCGTAACTGACAGTCAAAACAAACCCCTTCTCCCACAGTTGTTTGTCAGGTATTCTGTCCCAGCAACAATCAACTAGCACAAGTAGGAAAAGACACATTCCTGTAACAGGTCCTTTTCCTTTTAATCGTCATAGTGGCTTGGCCTTTCTGACTGAACCTATCACTTACAAAGAAGCCTGGCAACAGAGGCCTGGTATCCCAACTAAATGAGATGATATTTAAATTACCAAAATTACCAAATGATGGTTACTACAGAGCAGTAGCTAAATTACTTTAATAAGTTTAACCTTAATGCACATATCTGATATTACAAATTGTGCTGAAGATACAAGGTGCTATTTTAAAACTATACAATCATTTAAGAAGTCTTACCATGAGATTCAAGTCCTGCTCCCTGTGCCAGCCCGTTGTCATACGACTGAAAAAGAAAAACAGTTTAGTTTAATGGAGAAATAATAATTATAATAATAGATAAGTTGCCAAAACAAAGCTATTTTGATCTCTTTTATATCTTCTACAGTAGGTACTTCCTCCAGAGAAGTAGACGTGAACATTTTGCAGTCTCCATTCTTCTCTGGGTTAGCAGCCAAACCCCCAGAGAGGTGCATCTGGGAAGTATACAGCAATCAATGACAATCTCCAAGCCCAACCCTCACTCTTCCATGTGAGTAGACAGAATGAAAACACGAGGACTTCACGCCTACTCAACTTCAGCCATTAAATAAATCTAGTCTGAGACACTTTCAGCTTACTGGGGATAACCGCCAACTAAGTTTCAAAGACCTCACATATCCCCCAAAATCAAAACAATACGATCAATAAAATTTCTACAACTCAAACTATGTAGAGATATTCCTAAGTTTCGGATTACTTGCCTACAAAAACAGTATCAAACCTAGCCAACCAGCTCTGATAACCGATTACAAGATCAATGGTAATTTGTGAGGAAATCTGAGGGAGAAGAAGGAGAGCTACTGCTCAGTGTAACCCTGACCTGAAGTCGCGATCTAAGAGAAAGATCATCCTAAGAGTAAAAATACAGGCCGTCTTTGACGAGTGAGGCCAAGGCAATAGGGAATATAATATTTTTATTTACCAGAATAAGAACTTACACACAAAGGATGGAGGGTCAGAAGCACATCCATTTTCCAGAGGAGGAAGGAGAAGAAGAGAGATTCTTTCTCTTTCACTTCCTTTTATCCTAAATTTCCTTATCCCCGCCCCTAGGGTGGATAGCTTTGTGGGGCTCACCCCTACAAGTCTTGACTTGCTCAGCCCCAGGACAGTCCCAGTTTCCACAGTTCAAATAATAATAAAAAGATTCAAATCCTCATAAACACAGTACACTAACTGTGTAATATATAAGCTCTTTAGTCTACAAATATTTATATAAATAGAAACCGTACATCACGATCATGACCAATCATATCATCTTCTCTAAACTCTGTTAATAAGCACTTACTGCCTCCCTTCAGTCAACAAGGCTACTTATTATCCCTGTGGGCTGTTAGTGCTGTACAAATAAAGATGGCCATACCAGCAGCCAGAAAGAATGTACAAGTCAAGTTGGCAGTGCTCAAAGGGCATGACTTCTGGACAAGAAAGGTAAAAATGGAAGAGATGGGCCTTTTAAGCATCAGGTAATTAAGGATAACTCAACAGAAGAATTTAGAGGCCTGAAGAACAAAAGGAAGACTTCCTTCCTGCCAGGAAAACCACAGAACATACATACCACATTTCCCCCACCAACAAATCACTCAAAGAAATCATACTTGGTTGCAAAGATAAAATGGTATCCTGGGAATGGAGAGATAGCTCCGTGCTTAAGAGCACTTACTGCTCTTGAAGAAGACCCAGTTTCAGTTCCTAGCACCCACATGGTGGTTCACAACCATCTGTAACTCCAGTTCTGGGGAATTTGATAGTTCTTCTGACCTCTGTGGTCTCCTGCACACACACAGTATCATACATACACTCAGACACACACACACAGATACACACAAATTGTTTTTTAAAAAAAGTGCAACCTTGAGCTATACTTTTAAGAGAAAAAAATTACTAAATGAAATATATCTAGTTACTGTTAGATAAAAACACAGAAAATGAAATGAAAATCCTGCTTCTCAGTATATGAAAACCAGTCTGTATAGACAAGAAACAGTCACAAGGAAATTTAACCCAGCACCCAAAACTCAACTGCACATTCTCCAATACTGGGAATATGAAAAAGGAAATTAGATATTAAAAGCAAAAAGCTGGAGAAATGGCTCAGTCTATAAAGTATCTGTGTGTCAGGACCTGAGTTTGGACCCCAGAACCAACATAAAAGCCAGACTTAGGGCAGATGTCTGTAATCCCAACACTGGAGTAGATAATGCTGGCCGGTGCCTAGCCTAACCAATGAACTTCAGGTTCAGCGACAGATGGTATCAAAAGACAAAGGCAGAGAGCTGCTGAGGAGAATATTCAACATGTATTTCCGTTCCCACACATGCACACACACCAAAACTAACAAGTACACACCCCCCGACACAAGAAATCACTCACAGAAACTAACAAGTGCACACCCCACACACACAAGAAATCGACTCACAGAAACTAACAAGTGCACACCCCACACACAAGAAATCACTCACAGAAACTAACAAGTGCACACCCCACACACAAGAAATCACTCACAGAAACTAACAAGTGCACACCCCACACACACAAGAAATCACTCACAGAAACTAACAAGTGCACACCCCACACACACAAGAAATCACTCACAGAAACTAACAAGTGCACACCCCACACACAAGAAATCACTCACAGAAACTAACAAGTACATACCCCCCACACAAGAAATCACTCACAGAAACTAACAAGTACATACCCCCCACACACAGAAACTAACAAGTACACACCCCCCCACACAAGAAATCGACTCACAGAAACTAACAAGTGCACACCCCCCACACACACAAGAAATCACTCACAGACACTAACAAGTGCACACCCCACACACACAAGAAATCACTCACAGAAACTAACAAGTGCATACCCACACACACAAGAAATCGACTCACAGAAACTAACAAGTACACACCCCACACACACAAGAAATCACTCACAGAAACTAACAAGTGCACACCCCACACACAAGAAATCACTCACAAAAACTAACAAGTGCACACCCCACACACAAGAAATCACTCACAGACACTAACAAGTGCACACCCCACACACAAGAAATCACTCACAGAAACTAACAAGTGCACACCCCACACACACAAGAAATCGACTCACAGTAGGAAGAAATAATAATGTGTTAAATGGTTTAAAGAAAAAAAAGTAAGAGATTAGCCAGTTGATAAAGATTAGCCAGTTGTGGTGGTGCACACCTTTAATCCCAGTACTGAGGAGGCAGAGGCTGGAAAATCTCTTTGAGTTTGAGGTTAGCCTGATCTACACAGTAAGTTCCAGGACAGTCAAGGTTACAGAGAAACTGTCTCAAAATGACAAAAACTCCAACAAAACAACGACAAAAAACAAGTAAATTATTGGACTACTAAGGAACAGTTATTGACAATGAAAACACAAAATGGGCAGCAGAGAGGCTGCAGAGATGGCTCAGCGGTTAAGAGCATAGACTGCTCTTGGAGACAAGACCCAAGGTGAGTCCCCAGCACTCCTGTCGGGGAGGTTCCTGGACACCTGTAACTCCAGCTCTGGGAGGACCCAACTCCTTGGACCTCTAGGGTCACCTTGCACTTCTGTGCATATAATCCCCTCCCTGCCCCAACACACACACAATTACAAATGATAGATCTTTTTCTGAAAAAGGGGAAATCGAATAAGGGCAGAGACCCACAATTAAGAATATAGAGCTGATATACGGAGGCACGAGTGGAGCAGAGTCGGAGCTCAGTGTACAGTGTGCTAACTTAGCATACGCCTGACCCTGGGCTCGATCTGAAACACAACTTTCGTCACCCTCAAAAGAAGCAAAAATGCCAGGGAGAAAGTAGCTGAGATGAAAACCAGCAAAGAAGACATATAAAACTGAAATACAGAAAGACAATAAGCAGGGCAGGGCTGGTGACACAGTCCCCTGGTACAAGTGCTTACCTACCATGGGAAAAGATCTAGGTTCCAACCCCGGAGGTGGCAGATGGAATACAACAGGGTAAAGACAAAGACAAGAACAGGCCTTTTAAAGAAGTATAACATCCCACTGGCAAGGCTATATAGAAAAGGCACCCTCCTATGGGGTTAGAATACAAACTGGCTCACCTTACTGAATACATTGTAAGGGCAGTGAGCTGGGCAGTAACAAGAGCACAACTCACAGCCTGGTTCATGCTATCCATCTTTGGGGGTAGAAAACAAAACTAGCTAATAAAGTTGCATATGCACTTAGCAGATTAGGGTACCAGATTTGGGGATTAAGTAAGAGTGGCAGATAAAGGGGAGTAAGAAGTTATACTTCCATGACTTTTTTCTTTAATAGTTCTGATAAACAGAAACAGGTTAAGTTAGTTATTAATCCTATAAGCAAATAAATAAAGGTCAATAACTTTTTAGGGGATGGGGAGTCTAAATGGAATAAATATCTACAACAGTTATTCAAACAGAAATAAATACATCTAACCATAGCTGGAATAAGTAACCTTATCAAAGACAAAAATTAATAGATCCTATACAGTAAACTGAAAGCTGGGCTTATCCGTACAGACTCACAGTTCTTAACACACAGGCTACTAAAAACACGCAGAAGCAGACTGTGTTGAGCTCAGCTCTTGGCTCTTTCCCCCTTAAAACTCTTCAAGGTCTTTTCTTTTTGCAGTTACAAGCTTTTAAACTTGGCGTATTATACATTCAATAAAATCTATGTATAAGGCACTCAGAAGGCAGGGACAGGGGGATCTCTGTGAGCTGAAGGCCAGTCAGGGCTACACAGTGAAACCCTATCTCAAAACAAACAAAAAAAACCCAACAACAAAAACAGAACAGAAGAAAACATCGATGCATAGTTAAATAAATTCCACTCTTCTAAGAGTTCTGACATTCCACTATGAGACAGTAACAGATTTGCTACAAGTTGGATTAATTAGCCTTAATAGGATGAAGAACTCTCATCTGTAAATTCTCTGTAAATTGTGAACCCTCATAGTTGGGAAGTGATAAGCCTGGAGAGCATTCTGCTGCCTCTAGTTTATCCAGAAGATGCAGGTGCAAAGAGTGATCCTGGCTGTATAACCTCTCCTTACCACTGCTAGAATAAATTGCATTGTGTAAGAGGAACATTTCTAGTTATCATCTTTAAAATTGGATTAGAAAACAGATGTCAGCACTAAATTTTAATGGTGAATATGTTCTTTGAGATTATTTCCATATAGTGTTCTGAAAAACAATCCACCAAAAAAACCTAATCTTGTGACTCTTATTTTTAAATCTTGATCAAGAGATGAGGCATACACCATACTACAGCTGTCAATACCATCAAGAACCTCAACTGGTCCAGTTGTATCCTCACCATACTTCTTCTGATGTAGCTGATGGCTTTCTTCATGTCCATGCCTGACCAGTTGTTGAGCATGTAGCAAATACAGGAAGCACAGTACACGAACCTCATGTCATTCTCACTGCCTTCAGGAACAGCACAAAAACTGAAAACAAGGACGTGAAGCTGCATTAAGATCATGTATCTCAAGCAGGCCCTGGGCCTTTACTCACAGAGCCATCTATTGCCGACTTTCTCCCTACCACATTCTACAGGTAGAAAATCCCTAAATCATTTATGATCACGAGCTGTCACTACCCAGACACTACTATTCAGATTAAGTTGTTTACTCCCTTAATAAGGGCAGCAGAAAAAGTAGCAAGTAAAACCTCACACATATTATTTGGTAGTAAGAAACTGCTAACCCATGTTTTACTATGAGAAATTTCTCCTAACTGTATATATAATTATTAATTGATCTGTTATATTTGGTTTCATTCCACATTTAGTTTCAGAAAGATAATACTGTGTTCCTTCCTCTTTATAGCAGTAAGCCAGAACAATACCAGATTCCCAAATGTCCATTTACTATATCCCTCATCAAGAGCAGTGTTCTGAAAACACAGACAAGAAAATAAGGATCACAGCATACAGGGTAGGGATGTAACAGCAGCAAACTCATCCACAAAGTCTTTTGATTGGAGACCATAGTTACTACTTCATCGCATTAACAACTTACAACCGTTCATGACTTAAACTCTTACATAAGCCACCAAGCACCCATGAGCATTAACTTCTCTATTGTTTAAATGTCCCTCAATGAGCTATAGAGCAAACCACCTCACTTTGAACATATTTAATGTGCATTCCTTTCTCTACCATCAGTACTTTCAAGGATATTCAAACTAAACAGCTTATTTCAAATTCATCCTGGAGGTAAATTAAAAAGAGTAAGGAATTCTACTAGAAAATGAGATACTTCTTTCATTATGCATTAACTACGGATACAAACATTATTGGTTCTTTTCCATTGTGTGACTGGGGATCTAACCCAGGGCCTTCACACACTAATTATGCACTATCTCTTGAGCTACATTTCCAGTCCTGGATGATGCTAGTAAGAGAATATGATCCTCTACAGATCTACTATAGTATTACATCAGTTTTATAGTTCCAAATGGTTTTTACTTAAACATGAAAGAAAATGAAAAATCCATACCTCCCATCTTCAAGCTGAAGTGCTCTCAAGCCTGCTAAGCAAGCTTCCTTATCTACTCGGCTTAAGTCATCTCCAAGAATAATTAAACATGAAAGGCCAGTGTAGGTCATCGCTATGTGTCCACTGTCGTAAGGATGAGCTGTTCCAGGGTTCTAAATCCAAAATTAATACTAGGTCAAATTCACTGAAATTTTAACTTTTATTTCAAAAGTGAGGTTTGCCATGAGGGTTTAGTGAATGTTCTTTATACCAATTTGTATAGGTATCTACCTGAGGGGGAAACACCTTAATTCTTATACCTCAATGATTTCTTACAAGCTACATAATTTTCAAATCTTATATTCCTCCAACTTATGAAAGTAGTTATGACATTTAAATAAACCACATATTCGAAACTTTGTACTTAGTTCAAGCCTATAATTTGTAAAAAGTATGTCTTAAAGTTACAAACTCATTCAATATTTTAATCCATGAAATTTATAAGAAGTAAAATTTGGACCAAGAGACTGCTTGCCTAGTGTGTGTTGAGGCTGTGGGTTTAATTCCAAGAACTGCCAAAAGAAAAAAAAAAAGGAAAAAAAAGAAAGAAAGAGAGAGAATCAAGTTGCGACATAAGGTAAAAATCTAAATTAAATACCATAGTACTATTCACTATTTACCACATAACCTTATGTATCATTCTAGTGTCGTGAAGCTAAATCACTTGAACATCTAATAAACATTAGCATTCAGAATATAAGAAGTAAAGTAAGGACTTCAACTGTATAGTATGAAACAAGGTCACACAATCTCAGAAATAAACCACATTTAAGCTTCATCTACAGAAGCTAGCCAATAAGGTTTGTATGTATGTATTAAAAAGGGTTAGCAACCTAATCCCACAATTTTCTTGCACAATGACCTGTGCTTCCTCCCAGAGCAAGTCTGCATGCTACTCAATACCCTTTACCAGTGAAGTCACCGCCAGCCACTGGTCCACCCCACACACACTTCTTTCTATAACCTCACTAGCACCAAGCCAATCTGACCTTAACACCTCTTGCCTATTCTATATCACGTTTACAATGGGCTTCTCGGAACGCCCACAGCAGGTCTCATTTTTCAGTATTTAAACCAAACACCTGCTATTTTAAAGAAGGGCAGGGAATCCAAACATGAATTAAATGTGAACCTTGCCCTTTAGGAGATGAAGAGAGATTTGAGTATATAACTACAATCCAGAGGCGGTCACTCAAGTGGTTTTAAAGGAGATACAGTGCCACACAGATTTAAACAGGGACAACGGAAACCTCCTATCTCATATCTCAGGTTCTCGGGTGCTGGGGAATCACAGATAGGAGCTCTCAGGCACCTCGCTTGTGAGACCTCTCTCTTAAAAGGGGGCAGGGATGGCTCGGCTGGCAGAGCCTGGTGTACTTGAAGCCCTGAGTTCCATACTGTACATCATAGTGAAAGAAAGGGGGGAAGAAAGAAAAAAGAAAGAAAAAAACCTTCCTCCACTTTCCAGCATAAAAACACCTTGGTAATTTTGTGCAAAAGGAGAACTCCAGCGCTGGCTCTGGGCCAGTCAGCTCCTTTGAGAAAAAGGCCCTTCTTTGAACACTGGCATGGGCTGGTTCAAACGCCTCTGCCCAAAATGCCGGGGAAACTCAGCTTCGGGCTGTGAAAGTCATTAGCCTGGGTCCCCAGTCACTTCAACAACACCTCACCCTCCTGAGGAGCAGGAGCCCAGCATCAAGTCCTGGGACACAGGGGTGTTCAATGGCTTCACAGAGAGCACCAGAGCATCAGGTTTTCAGTTCTCCAGGAATCACTAATGATGTCTACATACACATAATAATGAGAGAGAACTGTTGGTAATAACAAATTTCTGCATATACACGTGCCATAAAGAACTTCTAGGAAGGTGGCTAAAGGCTTCACTTAAGACGTTTTTGCTTATATTTAGCATATTGAACTTAGAAGCTTACTTCTCTCTAAATGTCTTCATCTGCTTTCTCACTAAGACCTCTTTGTTCCGTGCCCACGTTCCAACACGAAGAGAACTAACCTTTGATGGATTGAACGGAATACCCAGGTATGAAGAGCCTCGGAAACCACAGCGATTTAGATTTGACCCTAGAAGACAAAGTGTGTGCCCATTTAAAATACACTGTCTCGGTACAGAATCCAAAGCAGTTTAACCATACAACTGTGCAGTATTTTAGTACCAAAGCTCCATTTTCTCTGCCTGCACATATGGTGCTCACAGGCGAGGATGTACATGGCTGTGCGCACATGCAGAGACCCGAAGAGGACGCTAGGACTCTTCCTCTACTGCTCCTCACTGATGTTTACAGACAGGGTTTCACTGAACCAGAACTCACTGTCTCAGCGAGGCTGGCAAGGCTGGGGTTATGGGCCTGCACAGCCATGCCAGGCTTTATTTGGGTGCTAGGGGTTGAACCCAGGTGGCCTTGTTTTCACACCAAGTCCTCTTACACATTAAGGTCCATGGTCTCCATTTCTATTCAGAAAACAGGCCCAGAGGTTAAGTGACATGTTGGAAGTAACAGCTCACACAACAGGCTCTAGAATCCACCTTGACTCACTGCTTGGCACATGAGTAACCTAAAGACGTAAACTGTACTATCACCTTAGAGAGAACGCACATGCATATTTCAGTCTTAAAACTGTGTTCTGGGTGCCTGGCTTTGAAGCAGGTTGAATACTTAAGCTCACACTTGGTCTCTACTCATAATCCACTTATCATTTTGTTTTTCTATCTATGAGTTTTCCTTTTTCCAGATATATATGGGATGTAAGTTAAGAACTTAAAAACACATCTATAATTATGGGCTTAGCGGCTGTTAGGAAATCAGTATGGCAGATATAAAAGGCAAGAACGTATTAGCACACCAGAACTGCCAGCTAATGAAAACTCAAGGTGGTTTAAAAACGGGCTTTCGTCTCATACGTCCCCATTCACTTCTCCAAACCAGGCAATCAATGACCTTGCTCAGTCTTTGCTTCCTTGAAACACTCAGTGGAAACTTATAAATCTTTGCAGAAATGAGAAAGACTGAGGTGGAAACGTCCCACCAATCATTTCCCTCGACTGGCAGCACTAATGGAGGCAGAAAATGTGCCTTATTTTTGGTAAGACTTTGTTAAAGAGAAACCAAACCATACCCTTTGTCTAAGTGACTATTCATCCCAGAATGTCCTTCAGGACCTTCATGGGCAAGGCCATACGCACAGAAGTATCCAGGGCAGCATAACAGTGACAGTTTAGAAGGGACAGAAACGTCTAACAGCCTTAAGATACCATGCTGTGTCCACTGAAGGGTACATTATGCTAATTTTGAAAGGAATTATTAGTAAAACTAAGTACCAGCATGGAAATCTGTATCTGAACAAGAGAAAACAAAGGAAACAAAGCATGTGAATGATATTCTTAATTAAGTAAATGGTACATGCTTAACAGGCTGGAGGGAACAAGCAAAATAGTAGCTGTGTGGGACGAGAGAACTGGGGAGACTTCATCCTCTATGAGTCACTGTCAACAAACAGCACCACAACTGTAGGACAGCAAGCATGTTTATCATCTTGCTGTGTCCGATGATCAGAAGGCCAAGACAAGTCTCACGAGCTGCAAGGAAAGCCTTCCGGCACAACCTTCCTTACTGGAGGCTCTAGAGGAACGGTCAGCCTCCCAGCTCAGTCACACTGTTGGCAGATGAACTTCCTGTTACTGGTGGCTGACGTCTCAGTTTCACTGCTGGCTATTAGCTAGGAGCTCCCATCGGCTCCTAAAGCCTCTCTTACAGTTTCTGACACAGGAAACGCTTACCAGAGAGCAGCTCTCATTCAAATTCTTTTCAAGATAAGTATCCTTCTGGCTTTCTCTTCTGCTCTTTCACGACATTTGCTGACTGACCTGCTGTTCAAGGAACTACTGATAAGCACACACATACATATGCATATATATGTATAAACACACACACAAGGACACACGGGGAGATTATGTGCATGTGGGAGAGGCATATGGACACACTGTTTTTTAACATCAAGTGATTAGTATAACCTTAACCATCATCCACAAAGTCCTACCGCAGTACCCAATGTCTGACTGAGAACTGAATAAACAAGAAGCTTCAGGACAGCTCAGTACAATTGCACACACCCCTCCACCTTTATCCTTTCATCATGACTTCGCTTTAATCTCTTCAAGGTGGGTAAACAGCAGCAAAAGTGTCTTTCCCTAGACGATCCAAACTGGACATCAGCTTCCTCTTTTCCTCCCCCATTTTAAAGATCTCCTTCCAAGCTACTAACTTGATGCTTTGCTATAAAATCTGATCTCCGTTCCACTTCTGATTGACAGAAAGTTCTATGCATATTTTGAGTATAGGTCTATCCCCTTATTAGGAAGTTCTTGAGTTCCCTGATAACTTAGGACAATCCAGTTAGGTGTTTTACATAGAGTCTGGGTTCAAAGAAAATGCTTCTAAGTAAGATATCACTTCCTTAGAGACAACTGAACACATGCCTGCTTCTGAGTTTTAATTAGGTTAAATTCCTAACTTTTCTGAGAAGCAGCAGCAAGAAAACTGATGCTCAAAAATCCTGTGTCTTTGGGTGTTTTAGCATGGACACGGGAGCCAAACGCAGACTCACGACCTTGTTCTTCCTAGTGTTTGTGCTCTATTGAAAGTAACAATCTGTCGATTAGCTTTCCCTGCCTGTCTGTGACCGAGTCTCATATAGCTCATGATGGCCTCAAACTGTTATAGAGCCAGGGCTTTGAGCTCAGAGTCTCCTGTCTTTGCCCCCAGATGACGAGATCACAAGCAGGCACTAGCATGCCCAGCTGAAATTTACTCCACTTCCCAACTGGAACAGTAACATAACTGCGAGCAGTATGTTGCAGGGTTCTCATAAGGGATAAAGGATATGCTCAGGTCACAGCAGTGACCATGCTTAATAAACAGTAACTATTTAAATCTGGCCATTACATATTGTCAAAAGTGAAACGAGAAGAAATGAAGAGCCCTTCCCCCTTTCACAGTATTTTTAAAGGAAAATATCAAAGTAAAAAGTGTCCTTTCTTCTTTTCCAATAGGACAATACACAGTCACCATGAAAATCTCTGGAGTCTTTGGAGACAGTCACAACACAGGAAGACAATGTAGTATTTCTGCCCTCTTCTGAACTGCCTGTGGAGTATGAAACTGAATGAAAAAATAGCTTCAATGTAAACAATTGCTCAAAGGAAGTTCTTATTTCTCATCGCACATTTAATAACATTAAACCTAGTGCCCAAGAAAGATGATTTACTCATCAAATTGGTGTATCAGCCATACACTTAAGTACCAAAGCTGTGAAAATGATGTTCAATAAGAACATAATTACCATTTTTAAGTTCATTAGGCATTCTAGTTCTCGTCAAGTTTGCTGGCTACTGGCACTTCCTTTATAATTCTGGAAACTTACCATCTCATAATATTCAAGGATAAATTGCAATTTGGTCCAAACGTATCACTGCAAGTACACGCCAGGTGACGTTGAAGCGCTATTCAAGAGCACCATCTAGCGTTCACACCTAGCATCAGCCAAACAATCGAGTTCCTTGCATACAGTCTGCCCACTAGACTCAGTTGTTAATGGACCCTCTACTTTTGTGGCACCTACTTCAAAGAAAGGAAGTCTACATTACAATGAAAATAAATAACCACAGAGAGTAGAAGAGTTCAAGTTAATAAGGAAAATGAAAACTGAGCAGACAGGGGATGCAACAAGCATACGGATTTGTTCATGTCACATGCGTTTATGAAAAAGTATTTGGGGTTGTATTATCAGGGAACATGTTTTTGGATGCTTGAACAATAAACACTAAAACTGACTTTTGCCTGATGGTTGTGTACATGGCACTTGAACGGGGAGGCAGCACTGAGACCCGAGAGCCTGTCATCAGTCCAACTCTGTCTATTTAACAGCTGGGCAAGGACTCAGACACAGTATTTTTAAGTATTTATCCTTTGATAATTTTAAATTCACAGTGTATTTTGACCATATTTATGACTCGCTCTTTTCCCTGACCCCTCCCTCCCTACACCCTCCACTCCCACCAACTCCAGTGTGCCCCCATCCCCCCCAACCCTCGCCCTTTCTGAGATAGGGCTTCTCTGTGTAGTCCTAGCTGTCTTGTTACTACTTCTGTAGACCAGAGGCCCTGAACTCAGAAATCTGCCTCTGCCTCCAGACCACTGGGATCAAAGGTGTGTGTCACCACCGCCTGTTTTTTTTTTTTTTTTAACAACCCCTGGACTTCAATTTGTGCTACCCATTCAGTCTTGAGTGTGGGACCATCCACAAAAGAAAGTTTATAAAGAACACTGTCCCCTCCCTCTTCCAGAAGTCACCAACTGTTCAAGCACCTCAGTTAGGGGTGAGAGCTTATGAGCCTCTCCTCCCTCATGCTATAATATCAGCTGGCTTGGTATTGTACAGGTCTTGTTCAGGCAATGAGTGCAGCAGTCCTGTTATGTCCAGGGCTCCATGGGCTCCAATCCTGTGTGTGTGTGTGTGTGTGTGTGTGTGTGTGAGAGAGAGAGAGAGAGAGAGAGAGAGAGAGAGAGAGAGAGAGAGAGAGAGAGAGAGAGAGAGAGAGAGAGAGGCATGTGTGTGTGTTTGAGTTTTTGTTTTAACCACTCTCTACCCCATAGAGGAACTTCTCTGATGAGGTCTGAGAGCTACACCAACCAATGGGGAGAGAATGACAGATTTAGAGGGCAGTTGCATACTAGGTCAATTTAGCAGAATAAGAGCAATAGGTTCATCCCTGGCGCCTGTGAGCTCTTCAACTATGAGCTCCGGCTAGATTTACTGTGCTGGACATGTGTTTCCTACTGTGAAGCAGGCCTAAAATCCAAAATCCAATCAGAAAGCAGTTGGTTACTCCAAATACTCTGTCTCTTGATCTTTTCTGGGTTAAATGAAGAATAAATCTGAGAACTATCTGGCTGTGCTTTGAAAAATTATAAAATATTAAATAATGGCCATTATTTCTACTAGCAAATATTTGTATTTAGATTTCAATTTTAAACTATTTAGTTTCATCATTTTTTTTAATTTAAAAACAGAAACTTTTTTAGTAGATACCTAAAAAAAATTATCTTATCCTGACATCTCCTACCTCTGCTCCATCTACTTCCCCCTCCAAGGATGCTCTATATACCCTCTCAAGGGCTTTCTCTATACATTTATACTTACATACTAAACTGTTAAAACATCTCTGTTTATTTGCTTATTTGTTTTTGAAAGCAGGTGAAAGGGTCTCATTAATTTCTTAAGCTGCTCTAGAACTCCTGTCCTCTAGCAATCCTCCTGCCTCGAGATCCTAAGTAGCTGGAACTATAGGTACACACTACCATGTTGACTCTGTTTCTAATCTATCACTTGATCACATATGACAAGAAGACTTTCAGTCAATACATATACAGGCCTCCCTTTATCATTTTGCTACTACACAGCATCTTCTTACTGGATCATAGTTTACTTAAATGTTTTAGTTTTGATGAACACCTCTTCTGTTTCTAATTTGTTACTATAACAAAACACTTTTAGTTCATTTTCTGAAGTTACAGATCACCACAATTGTGGTGGTTCGCATTTACATATTTTGTGTGTATATGCACATGCGTGTGTAGGGCCACACACATGCCACAGCACACGTGTGAAGGCCAGAAGACAACTTGCCAAAGCTGGCTCTTTCCTTCTATCGTGTTGAGTCCTAGGGGTCAAGCACGGGTCACTGGGCTTGGTAGCAAGTACTTTTTACCCGCTGAGTAATAAGCCACAACTTCAGGTCATCTGAACTACGTTTATATTTTGTAAAATTGAATATACACGGCATACTTCTTTCTCTCAAAAGGCATACTTCTTTCTCTCAAAACATGTCAACTAAGTCATGAATTTTAGAGATTTAATTAAAAATAAAGCTTTTAAGAATTAAGAAATACAACAATTAACCAAGGGAAATTTTCTGAAGATGGAAAAACAATGACTGAGAATAAGAAACACAGCAAATCCTAAGGGCTAGTCAGATATAAACATCAAATACAAATAATGAGTCACTACGGATGTAGGCACATACACACAGTGTGCCGCTGTATTTGTGAGTCTCAATACAATTCCCATGACTAAGTTGCTTTCTCAAGAGAGGTTAATGCCGATACTAGTTACGTGCTGCATCCGCACAGAAGGGGTGCCGAGCTACAAGACAACTAAAGACATGTAAAGTACACCAAGAGGACAAATACATTCTATGATTTGCTAATCCCACGCATGTCATACCAAGAACACCTAATCATACTAAAAATAAAATGCTAAAAACTCACTCACTGTCTTCTGTGGGAAGGACCTGCAAGGAATAAATCCATTCTATTATGTCATCTTTGTTCACCACATCTAAGGAATCCAACATATCCAGTCCCGAGAGTGCAAAGAATGCAATTGTCAACCTAAAAAGAAAAGAAAAAAAGTAAGATATCATCTTAACTATCAAACCAGTGAACTATTTCTGGCTTAAACCCAGAACAAAAATAAAACAAAACACCAAAAGGAGAAATAACAATAAAAACCAAACCAACAAAAACCCTCATTCTACTTTAAAATAATTTAAATCTAGCCCTCCACCTTGTCAAACAGGAAAACAGAACCCCACAATTTATTATTGGTAATTGAAAAGTACCGGTCAAACCTTTAATTTTTAAGAAAGGGACTTTTGGAATCATGAACCCAACTCAACTTTGGGGTACAGGAATGCACTGAAGCTTGCAAGTAAGCCACTTGCAGGCTAAAAACATTTATGTATTTGTAATGTGGTTAGGTCTCTGCGTGTGCGCATGTTCGCATGCACACACTGTTAGATTTACTTTTTTATTCTTAATTAGAGGTGTTGGAAATTGGGGGGTCTCATGTTTAAATAGGGGTCCAAGAATGGAGTCATGTGAGGAGAATTCTAAGGTTAAGAGCCCTGTGATCTCAGTTTCTTCACAAACACAGAATTGTTCTTGGATTGTATTTTTTCATGCCCTTCCCAGATGTAGTGGATAGGAATGAGTTTACTTCAGATTATCCATTACGACTGGCTATTGCTAATTGTTTATATGGTACTTGCAGCTGCCCATCACAAGCAGCTTCCTCTTGGGATTGGACACTTGGACTCCTTCCTCTTAACCTTCAGAGTATAAATTCATCCAGTAACACAGAGCTCTGAATAAAGTTGGTTACTGGATGAAACTTTAGTCCATTCATTTATCAGCTCCATTTTCGCAGGTCCCACCACCAGCTAGTGTGGTAAACAAGGGGTATGTGTGCCCGTATATGGGGTTTGTGCGCAGGAGTGCAGGCTCCAGGGGAGGGAAGCCAGACTGAACCACTGTGGCTGCTGAGAACCGAACATTACACATGCTTCACCGAGGGTCCATTTCTCCAGTGCCATCTAGTTCTTCCTGTAGAAGACTGAAACTTGATTTACAGAGTCCTACCTAAGATGGCTTCATTGATGAAGACACTGGGAAGTCCCGGGCGAAATGGTTATTCTAGAAAGGTGTAAGGCAAGGGTTTCAGAGCCTGGGAACCTAGTCAGCTCACACAGAGCACTGCTTCCAAAGGACTGTCAAACCGTTACTACTTCCCTCACAACACACTACTCACCTGTCTCAGGCCAGTGTAACCAACTTCTCTTTGTCACTGCCAAAAACGGTTTTTGAAATTTTTGTTTTTGTTGATATAAACACAGCTCTTTGGTAAAACAGCAAATAATATACCTATTTTCATGATGCTGGTGCCATTTGAAAAGGAAAACTCATTTATTCTGTAAACATAAATGTGGTGATATACTATTTAAGATTTATAAAGTTTGCCTGATGGTTTGGAATGCAAGGCTAGCCACAAGCCACACAGCCAGACTTTTAATCCCAGGAGTCAAGGGACAGGCAGATGGATCTCTGTTAGTTCAAGGCCACACTGAAATACATGAAACTGATCCAGTGTATAAGAGAAAGAGCTCAAACAAAGGAGATCCCAGCACTTGAGGTATATGTGATAGGAGCAGATACTCAGTCTGGGGCAGTGGTGTCTAGCCACACTCGGGAATTAGACTGCAGCTACATTGAGGATGGGACAGCCTTTCATCCTGAGGTAAAGGTAAGAGCTAGTGGCCAGCTGGCTCTGATCTTCAGCTTGAAGCCTGAATACCAATATCTGTCACTGGGTTTTTATTATTCATGTTACACATAAAAAACACAACTCTCAACTTAAAGGGGTTAAGATATAGTTTATTCTGGAGCCAAGTACACGTGATCATGGCTCAGGAACACATATTTAAGTAGGTTACCCCAAATTTCGTATTCCAAGGTGGTTAGAGTTTGAAGTTTTTAAAGCAACAAAACAAAGAAAATCATAATTTAAATCACTTTCCAATATATGGTGGAAGTATTAGGTAAACGTCAAAAATTAAGGCAAAAGGGGGAAATCTCTGCTATAGGCCTCTCCTTTATTTTCTGACATTCTTAGCCTTTTGGTTGGTGAAAGTCTGTTAATACACTTCTAGTGTTTTAATCTATTAGTAACAATGATGTTAGGTCAGACACAGTGGTGGCCACAGAATGGTCATTAAGGGACTGAAGATAGCCCAAGATATATTGTGATTGGGTCTAGACCTGCAACATTCCAACCTCCCAACAACCATAGAAGTTAGCCAGTCTTGGAGAAGTTCCAGTGGAAGGTGTGGATATTTCCAGGAACTCTGATCCATAACCTGATTATCACAGTACAAGAAACTGAAATGGAGTAATTTTACAAAAACAGTGGGTCAAAAATATTACTAGGTGTCTAAATATACAATCCAACATTAGCCCAAGAGTTAGCGGCTTTGGCCAGTGTAGCTGCACACCTGCAATCCCAGTGCTCAAGAGGAAGGGCAGCCTGAGAGCTTGAGGCCCTCATGGACCACACAGAGAGACTTTGCTTCTGTAAATAAATAACCTAGGCTGCAGTCAGTAATAAGAACACAAGCCACTTAAAATCAATATGAACCACAAAAACAAACTCAACGTCAAAGTGAAATAAAGACTACAAACTCAATATATTGTTATCTTTTAAGTGGGATTATTAATGGCCCACAAGAAAACTAAAAATTATTTAAAAGTTCTATAGGAAGGGCTGGAGAGATGGCTTAGCAGTTGAGCACACTTGCTCTTCTTGCACTGGACCTGAGTACTAACATTGGGCAGCTCTCAACCACCTGTAACTCCAGCTCAAAGTGATCTCATGCCCTCTTCTGGCCTCCACAGGCAGTTGCACACACATGCACAAATATATACACATAAATAATAAACATCTTCAAAAATTCTATGCGCCAGGCGTTGGTGGAGCTTGCCTTTAATCGCAGCACTCGGGAGGCAGACGCAGGAGGATCTCTGTGAGTTCGAGGCCAGCCTGGTCTACAGAGCGAGTTCCAGGACGGCCTCCAAAACAATACAGAGAAACCCTGTCTCGGGGAAAAAAAATTCTATGCAAGTGTGATACACTAGACATAGGGGTAAAGACAGCATCTCTCAGCCAATACACTGAGATGTTACACATGCTCTAATATAATGGTTGGTGTGGACTGCTAGGACTATACCAGTTATTTAATGAATTATGAGTTCAGACAATTTTTACTGTTAGGTTATGAGCAGAAATTATATTGTCTACTGCCAACATGCACTACTCTAATTTTACACATCATACACAATGGGATCTTGAAAATGCAATCATAAACCTCTATTGATAGCCAGGCCAAACATCTCTTCTTCACTTTACCAACAGTGCAAGTTTTGAACTTTTTCTATGTTGGGATTAACCCACGGCCTGCAGCGTGCTAGGAAGTTGCCCTACCACTCCGCCACATTTCTGTCCCTGGAGACAGTGCTCTGACGTGTAAGCACAGTACATACTCATGCTGACCAATCAGTATCTATGGAAAAAGGAAAGAGCATAAACAACATCTCACTATTTCTTTTAAAGAATTTGCTCATCTTGGAGCTTCAGACATGGCTCACTGGAATTCAAGGCCCACATGGTGATCCACACTTGTCACTCCAGTTCCAAGCCCCTTTCTGGTATCGATGGGCACCAGGCACACTGCAGGCAAAATACCCATACACATGAAGTACAAAAATGTAAACGCTTTAAAAACCCCGTTCATCTGTAGGGCTCAGGTCACACTGACAAATATTTGTTTATGCCTTTTGTATGCTAGCCACTACTTAAGGTCCTGGTGCAACACGGCTCTGTAAGACAATGTTAAAAGAACTAACAGCCCGTGGCTAAAGTGCGGTGGAGAACTTGAAATGTGTTGGCTATTGTAAAAGAAGATCGCAATTTTAAATCAGATCTAATTAATTCAGATTAAAAGAGCCAAATGTGACTACTGACAAATCACATGAGGCAGCTCTGATGTTATACACAAGACAGAATTGTATGCAACAAAAAGTTATGAAACAAACCAATACATACAGGTGGCAGTCAAGAAAGGCTTCTCTAGAGAAATCTGGATTACAGTGCATGCGCTTGCCATTTACTTCAGACAGTCTGCGTTAGCGGACAACACTGAACTCTACTCAGAGTGTTCGCCTGCCTTCTTCAGCTATCTCCACACCTCCCAGTTATGTATTTCTTGATCGCATTTGCAGAAGTCATCCACAAAAAATCCCCAAACTGAACCAGTCACCAAGTGTTCAAAATACACCGGAAGCTCCTAATTCAGAAAAAATAGGGGGCACTAGGGCGAAACTGTGTAATTGGGCATGGCATGGTGGCTCATGTCTTTAATCCCAGCACTTGGAAAGCAGAGGCAGCAGTTTTCTGAGCAGCCTGGTCTATACCATGAGTTCCAGGCCATGGTGAGATGCTGTCTAGCAAAAAACAAAAACCAGTGTTTCTCAGCATCCAACCCTAGGCAGCTCTTTAGCCTCGCTCTAAAATACAAGCAGTGTACAGCAAACATGTCTTCCTTTCGTTTTCTCAGTTCAACTTCTATAATTATTCCTTAACCTTGGCCAGATGTTAAACATTTGCCAATTCCAGTCTCACCGTGCTTCATGCAACACTGAACCCTTTACCCTATCATTTGATGAACAATTCCTCATAAGTAAACTTCCAATACATCTTAGCAGAGGGTTTCCCTGCTTTTCAATTAGCAGTTAATTAAGGGGGAAGGGCAGCGCAGGATCGATGATGCATAAACGCTTTATGTTCTGCTTTCGAAAACGTAAAGAAACAAAAGTGACTCACGGGACGCTATGGGAGTGGAAAAGAAAGCTCAGAGAAAATGGCTGGGGAATGAAAAGAGGCGGAACCAGGAGGTTCCAGAAGTCCTGGGCTTGGCGCTCACTCATCTCCCGGAACGCAGGGAGTAGGTGCCAGCGGCGACGCCAGGCGGGGGCCCGGGCAGTACAGAGGCGGAGCCCGGCCCAGGGCAGGGTGGGCAGGGCGGGCGGGCACCGCAGACGAGGCCAGCGGGGGCCGCGCAGCCCCGCGCGTCCCGCGGTCCGGTCGGTGCATCCGGAGCGCCGCCATCGCCAGCCCCGCCGCGGCAGCCTCGACTTACCTGCTGGTCTCAAGCGAAGAATACCGCTCGGGCAAGACCTGGAGGCAGCGCTGGAAGAACCGCACGTGCCGATCCCGCAGGAAATCCAGCCGCTCTCCATCTCCGCTCCCCGCCAGCCTCTCGTCCTCCGTGGCCGCCATGCTGCTCCGGAAGCGACACTCCCCGCGATCCGGAAGCAGTTGGCGGGAGGCGCCGCGGCCACTCCAGCAGGCTTTCTGCAGGCGTGTGCGGGCTGGGGCCTGAGAGCCGCCTCGTCTCTCTTCTCTCGAGATCCGGCAGTCTTTTCTACTCAGTCCCAAAGTTAGACACCGCCCTCGCGTCTTGTAAAAGCGGTTCATAAACACCTTCCCAGGATTGTGTTTGTGGAAGCGATCGTGAAGCCCAGAAAAGTGACGCCGTCACTTTTCAAGCACCAATACTCAGTACACAACATAGGCCAGGCGTGCAAACATTTTTTAAATGATCCCAGATACTGTATCTAAAGAGGGCTAGGAACAATGTCTGGATCTTAGTTATCGTGTCGACACATCTCTTGTAAAAACAGTCTGTCTCCAGTTTGGCTTGCCTGTTCATTCAGCTCACAACCGTGGCCCTCCAAAAATGGGTCTGCAAAGCTAAACTTTCAGATCTCTCCCTTATGTTGTGTAGGCCAGCACTGAAACTGGCAGGGAGCAGCTCAGCTCACTGAAGGCCCTTGAAACCCGCACATCAGATACCTAAGCACTCCTGGCAGAGCGCAGGAACAGCTAGGGTTAAAAGGATATGATCAAGCCCTGGATAGTCTTAAGTTGAGCAACAGGAGCAGAAGATAAAGTTATCCAAGCAGAATTCATGAAAGTCAAACAGAATCAACAAATTACACAAAGATAAAAATGTTTTTGCTAATCAAGTATTTGCTTAAATATTAAACACTGATTATATAAAGGGAACTTGACAATGTAAGAATGATTTCTGCTTATATTTCATTTCCTCGTTGTTAATAGTTTAGAAATACTGATATAGGTTTCCTCTTAAAAATTAAGCATAACAAAATAGTAAAGTTGATTCATGCTTACAGATAATACACAGACATTTATTCATGGGTTGACTTTTCTCCCAGAGGGTCATGCCATTAAAAAGTTAGGCTTTATGAATCAAACAGCCTGTCACAACTATTCAGGTCTTCAGTTGCAATTTCACTATAACACATAATTAGCCACAGACAATGTATAACCAATGGGCAAGACTGTTTCAATAAAATCTTATTCATATAAAAATTGCATTTAAGTTGCCTTGGCCATGTATTCATGAGGAAGAGGTCCACAAAAGATTAGGCCTAAATAAGGTTCTTTATAAACCAAGTTAGTAGAAATTTGGGTGTACTTCTAACTATAGAAAATTCATTTCCTACAAAATGTGCTGTGTTATACATACTTACTTAACCCTCAATTCCCAAGCATCCTGGGTAATTTCTGCTACTCAGCAGTTGCACAAGCTTGGAAACCTGAACTCAATCCTAGAGCTCAACACAAAGATGGAAGGAGAGAACCAGCTCCACCAAGTTGTCCTCTGATGTCCCCCAACATCTCTCTCTCTCTCTCTCTCTCTCTCTCTCTCTCTCTCTCTCTCTCTCTCTCTCTCTCTCTCTCTCTCTCTCTCTCTCTCAAAAACAAGGCTGGAAGTAAAACTAGCTTATTTCAGAAGAAAGAATGTTCCTGCTTTGGGGCAAGTGGAAGAAAACTGTACCACCCAGTAAGATACAAAGACACAAAGATTTTATAAATCTGTAAGTACAGAAAACCTGAAAGGAAATTTGACATTGTTGCAGGAAACCTGAAGGATGGAATCATAATAAATAAATAATGTACATATGGCAAGGGAGGTTATTTAAAATAGTCTCCATATAAAACAAAGCATGCTTTAATCAAATACAAAATATTCATTACACAAAAATGAAACAACTGACAAACTACCATTTTGTTAAACTTAGAAAAAGTACTAAGTTATTGAACAATTCTTTTTAAAAAGACACTTTACATTTTGTTACTCAAGCTTAGTTACTTCCAAGTTACAAAAGTTATAAAATTTCGTCTTAAAAAAGACTGATTCTCCTAAATAATTTCACTAAGCCGTGATAAAAACAAAATATCTTTGAAATATTTTGAGTATTTAAATGGAATAATGTTTGTAACATAAACCTATTTAAATAACTTTCATATCAATAATAGGCCAACACATACCATCTTTATAGAAACAAAATGCTGACAATACTACATGACTCTCAATTCATTCACAGCACAATAACCAACCTGACTAAGCTAGTAACATTTAAATAGTAAAGTTAATCACCTTCTCCTGAAATAGCACTACTAACATTCTCAAGTGACCAGCAATTGCATTATCTCATAGTCCCTCTAGATTCCTTGTCGCCAGCTTGGAATGGCCCTAAAGAGAAAAAGAGAAAAGCTATTATAAATATGCAGGAGGATCAGAACAACAGCAGAAACAAATGGGTTAAGTTGGTGGGATGGCTCCAGGGTAAAGGGAAAAAGGCACTTCCAACCAAGTCTGACAGCCCAAGCTGGATTCCTCAGACCACATGGTGGGAGGAAGGACATAAAACCAAGCTATCCTCTGATAGTCACATGTATATCACAGCACCACAGCACTCACATAACCATACACACACGACACACAATACATACAGAACAAGAAGTTAAAGTATAGATATGCTTTATCCATCTGTTAATGAAGTTACATTCATAAACTTCATAAAATACAAACACATAAAACTGCATAAGATAAAAACGTTACAAATCTCTATAAATGAACACCTTCTGCTACCTTCTCACCTGTGAGGGATATGGAGAAGTGGCCCAGAGCCTGATGGGCCTATCTTTTTGGTCCGTTCTTCCCAGCCTTTGGTAGGTTTATAAAGCCTAGAAGGATCTCTACTGACATTATTTTCTACCTGTGATTAGAAGTAAAATAGTATCAATTAACTTATATGAACTAAATTTGTACTAAGTAAAATCTTTGGTAACACAAAGCAGTTTTAAAAATTATGCTTGGGTATTACCCAAACATGAACTAACTAATGTATCCAAAATAAGCTTCCATTGTGCTTACACCACTAACATCAATCAATAAACTACTCATTTATCCTTTGCTAGTTCTAGTATCTCATTTCTATCTCAATTATGAGAAATAGACTACAGCTTAATATAACAGCAATATAACCAGATGACAAATGTAGGATAAATAACACCGATAAAGTCTTCAACTTGACCCACGGTCCTGAGCTGTTACCAGTGAGACTAAGCAATGCCCACAGCTACATAGATGCAGAATGGAGGTTCACAAAGAATGATGATCAAGACAACACAGAAAACTCAGGGTGACATAAAAGAGTGCTTCTAAAGCAAATGGCAGAACTCAAATAGTAACTGCTAAAAATGTATGACGTTGTGCTCTGTGGTATCTAAGTGTGAAGTGTAAAGCAGAGAGAACAGTAAGACATAAGGGAGAAGATCAGCCAGTCTCCTTACAGGCAAGGAGTCGGGACTGTAAGGAGGGAGCCGGGAAAAGGTAAAACCACGCTCTGGTGTACTATGCCACTGGCCTGATTACAAATATTCTCTAATGTAGATTTCAGAGAGCTAGGAGAAACGATTTTGACTGGGTTTGCCATAAAGAAATGATAACTATCTGAAGAAATTACTATGCTTAGTCTGATTTAAATATCACATAATTACACACGTTATATAAGTGAGGAAATATATACTTCATTACTGTGAAAAGATATGGCTCTATATTGGTTAAGAAATTAAGTTTTAAAAGTACACTTAAATTAAAGCAGGGCACGATGTACATTCGAACACAGCCTGGGCTAATAGCGAGACCCGTCTCAGAAACAGGACAGAGTACCTTTTCTTTTAGTTTGGCCAGCCGTCTTTGTTTTTCTGCCTTTTCCTCTTCTTTTGACTGTCTATCTAGAATTTTTAATTCAAGTTTATGTAAATCCTAAAAATAACAACAAAAGGAAAACAAAATTAACTAAAATTTGCTTTCTTAAGTGTTTACAATTTAAACTACCTCAGCTGCCAACACTCCTTCAAAGGTGATGTTTTCAAATGAAGACAAAGAATTGTATTTCCCTGACTGCCACCATGCAGACCTTTGCTGTATTACTTTTATTTTAGATTTTACTTATTTTACTCAAAGGTTCAGCCTAAACCTCTTAATAGGCAAACTAAAGCCATTTTTCTGCTTATCAATAAGGTATGTCTAGTCTGGGTCTCAGATAATTTCATATTTTCAATCTTCCTTTTTCTCAATCTTTTTTTAATGGATCCTGCATACTTTGTGGGGGCAATGAATAAGCATGAGATGTTTTGTTACTCTGTAGTGATGTTTTGTTTGTAACCTAACAAATAAAGCTTACCTGAAGATCGTAGTGCAGAGAGCTAAGCCACTTAGTCACACACACACTAAGCCACTAGTCAGCCACAGAGGACAGGCAGTGGTGGCCAAAACTTTAATCCCAGAATTTAGGAGACAGAGGCAGGTGGATCTCTGGGAGGTCAAGGCCACCCTGAACTACATGAGAGTGGATCAATCTAAAAGAGAAACAGCTCACACCTTTGATCCAGCACTTGGGATGACACGCCTTTAATCCCAGCACTAGAGAGGAATAGAAGGCAGGAGCTCAGTGCTGTCTCAGGACAGTTTGAGGTCTGGTGGAGAGCATTGCAGGCTGAGTCACTCTGAGGACAGGACAGCTACCCTTTGGTCTGAGCCCCGGTAGATGTAAGAAATAGTTAGTGGTTTGGCTGCTTTGCTTTTCTGATCTTCAGCTTGAACCTCAATATCTGTCTCCAGGTTTTTATCATTAATACCAATTAGAATTTGTGCTACATTACTCAGTTAAATTTTTTATATATAGCCGGGCAGTGGTGGTGCACGCCTTTAATCCCAGCACTCGGGAGGCAGAGGCAGGCAGATCTCTGTGAGTTCGAGGCCGGGCTGGACCAACAGCTTCCAAAACAATACAGAGAAACCCTGTCTAGTAAAAACCAAAAAAAAAAAATTTTATATATAAACTAAAGAAATGAATGAAAGTGCACACCACTCATGTATTTTTATGTTTTCCTTTGTACATCCCTTTATGAATGTCCATGCAAGGCATTAGGATGCACATTAGCAATTCATAACATTTTTACTCACTGACAGCTTTGTTTATGTTTTGTGTATCTTAGAATAACCTTCCCTGTCCTGCTTAAACAACACATCCAGCCTCACTCATAGCTTCCTCGTCTGTTGGTTCTCATCTGTTCCTTGATGTTCCAAAGATTGAAATATAATTCTCTCTCCTCTCCCCCGCCTCTGTGTGTGTGTGTGTGTGTGTGTGTGTGTGTGTGTGTAGAGAGAGAGAGAGAGAGAGAGAGAGAGAGAGAGAGAGAGAGAGAGAGAGAGAGAGAGAGAGAGAGAGTGTGTCTAGGAATTGAATCCAGTGCCCCCTTCAACATGCTAGGAAGCAATCTTCCACTGACTGTCACTGACATGCAGTGTTTACAGCCTCCACAAACAACACTGTTGATGCTCCTCCAAGCCTCTAGTCATGCTCTCCCTTCTGTTAGAGAAGAACTCTTCTTCTCTGCTCCTTCAAGACTCAGTTCACGCAGCACTTCTGTCACAGTTTGGGAAAGCATCTCTGCATTATCTATCTCCTGAAGTACTCTCTTTATTATCTCACCATTTTGTCCTAATTAGGTTTGCAGTGGTGTGATAAACTTGAGGGAGGAAAAGGTTTATTTCAGATTACAGCTGTAGTTCCTCCCTGACTGAGGTAAATTAGGGCAGGAACTGAAGCAGAGGCCATGTAAGAGCTCTGCTTACTGCGTGGTTCCCCGTGGTTTATACAACCCAGGAGCATTGGCACGCCCTCCCACATCAGCAGGGAAAAAAGATGCCCACAGACATGCCTGTAAGCCAGTCTAACAGAGTGCTCTCTCTTCCCAGACGACCCTTGCTTGTGTCAACCTGACAAAAAGTCTAGCCAGGACAGTTCACCTCCACATATCTTTTCCACTAAATTATAACTTACTAGACATTAGCGAGTGATGAGTCCTCAGCTATAGGGGTGCCAGGGCAGGTGTGCTGTATCAGGTGATGATGAACTCAACGTCTGTGTGACCTAACCTGGGAATAGGCTGCCGGGACTCACGCCCATAACTACTTAGGAAGATGTTTACTCACTCTTTCTTGAAACCTGGAAATCTCTTCAGCAGCAGTTTTCCTTTTTTCCGCCTTCTCTGCCTTTTCCTTTGCCTCCCTCTCAAGCCGCAGGAGCTCCTCCTGCTCCTTCTTCTGCTGGGTGTAGTTCTCCAGGAGCAGTTTTAACTTGCACTGCCGCTGGCGCTCTCTCTGCTGCTTCCTCTCTCTCTCCCCCTCTTCTCTGAGCTGGGAAGCATGCTTCATTGACAGCGCTATACTTTTCTGCTTTTTCCAAGCTTCGACTGCCAGTTTCTGCTTCTTTCTCTGTTCCTCTTTCTGCTTTTGATTACTTTCCAGGTTGCTATGAGGAGGCACAGGTGCAGTGTCTGCCTTTTCTTTTAACTTCAGTATTTCCTCCTTCTTTTGCTGCTTTTTCACTTTCCAATTCTGAATGGACTAAAATGATCAAAGAGAAACAAAACAATATGCTTTTGATCTGCCTGTGGCACTTAATACAACCCCAGTCTAGCTTCCTAGGAAAAGTCATTTGTGGATGCTGGATGCTTACAGGTTTGGTTTTAAACCAATGCAATTTTTCTGCTCACAGTTTTAAAATTACTGTGCCCTGTCAATCTCTGGACCCTGGGTTACTCTTTGGCCTCCCTGCATTCAGGGACCCTGCCCCCGCCTCCCCCGTCACTCCTGGGCACCGCCACTTTCCTCTAATCACTCACTTTGTTTTCAAATTCTCTTTCTAGGCACAGAATGTTTTTCAGGAGAACTTTCTCTTACCAAGCATCAGCCTAGGGATTAAAAATGGGGTAATGAAGACCATGAGCCCTGCAGACATATTATTTGGGAAGACTCTGGCTCTGCCATTTATTAGGTATGAGTCTGGATGAGTCACTAGTCTATGTTCTGCTCATCTGCTGGGGTGGTCCGATGAGAATGGCCCCTAGGCTCACGTTTGAAGGCTCAGTGCCCAGCTGGTGGAACTGTTTGGGAACGACTGGAAGGTGCAGTCTTGTTGGATGACATGTGTCACTAGTCATGGGCTGAAGTTTCTAACGGACACACCATTCCTAGCTAGCTCTCTCTGTGTGTCTCATGCTTGTGAATTAAGATGTAAGCTCTCAGCTACTGTTTCAGCACCACGACTGTCTGTCTCCTGCCATGCTCCCTGTCATGATGGTCACGGACTCTAACCCCCTGGAACCATGAGTCCCAAATCAAATGCTTTCTTTTATAAGTTGTTTTGCTCATGGTATTTTGTCAGAGGAGTAGAAAAGTAACTAAGACACCCATAAAATGGTAGGAAGTAATTTTTACACAGGATCACTGTGACAAATGGTGCCTGATACATGATGCTTCATAACTGCAGGGAAAAAATTTAAGTTTCATCTCTTATATGAATATGTAAAGATGACTTAAAATTCTAACAACCTTTATGCCATATGGTATGCTACATACTGTATTTCTCAGGCCCCATCCTGGTCAGGAAACTTTCCTCATCTTTCCTTATAGTTTATTATTCACATTCATTCATTCAATAAATCCTACATAGTGAGATAATATGAAAAGCAATCTATAGGATTAAAAGACAATTAGCAATACCAAATACTCTCTAGCCAGTGCCACTCAATATGCCAGTCCTCAAACAGATGAGGAATTTGTGACAGAATGTATCTCTTCCTTACTGGGGAACCTGCTGTCACACAATCACCTTATCAGGGTTTACGAACTGGAATCCAGTCCACGGATCAGCGTTGAGTGGCACAGTTCTGGATAAGATTTGGCATAGACAATCTATAGGGCATGGTGGAAATGTTGTTAGTGAATGCCCCAAGAGACCACGTATTTTGGGGTTGACAAGAAAACAGTAGTCGTTAGTCTAGGAATATTTTCTCAGTCAGGGAATGGATGGAAAAGGAGATATACATCAAAAGAGAAGGTATTCAAGGGTACTCCAGAGCATGTCTGAAAATGGTATCATTACTTATCCAAAACATGGGATATATTAAAGGTGTTTTTCCCCTAGAAACTAATGTAGCCTCTGCTAAGATGACTTCTTCCAGCCATTTGTATGGCTGTGAATCAACCCCATATTAGGATGAAGAGACGGAGTTTTACAGTACACTGTGTATTTTCTTGTGGTAGAAATGTCTGGTCTTCAGAAGTTCAACTGAAGTTGTACCACTGAAGCTGTTCCCTAACTATTCAAAGTCTTGGTTTCATGTGCTCTAAGAGATCACGGGCTGACTTCATGCTGTTCGCAGAATGTTAAGAGTTTTGCACAACGCCTGGCGCGCGCACACACACACACACACACACACACACACACACACAGGCACGCACGCACGCACGCACACGATGCAGCACAGCTGTTGTAACTACTATTACCTCTTTTTTTCTTTCTTCTAGAGCCAGGAACTTGTGATACCACCTCTCATGCTGCTGAACTTCATCCAGTGTTTTTCCAGGAAGGTGTTCAACAAGCTCCTTCATAAACGCCGGCTTTCCCTTATGTTTGTTCCTCACTTTCACAAAGTTCTGGTGGTCAAAGTCATCCCAGCCCCCCTGTCGCCCTCCTGTTTGCTGGAGGAAGTTTTCAAATTCTACCACTTCTTCTGGAAGAGTACTTGGTGTTACTCTGTCTATGGGAACTTTGCTTGAGATTGCTCTGAAAGCTTTCTCTGTTTCTGAATTACCCAAAGCCCAAGAGTCAATTTTCCTGGAGATGGCGTTCAACTCGTTATTAGTTGTTTTCTCTTCTTGAATAAGCTCTTCATATCTAAAATTAAGAGAAATGAAGTTTGAATAGCATACCAACCAATCCATACTAACCCTTCACTTTCCTGCAAATTTAATTATCCCTAACTATTCCATCTCCCCTTGTTGACATTCCTAATATTAATAATATTCATATCTGAGCCTTAAAAGAAGTCAGTTTCCTCTAATTTAAACAGTCTTTCAAACTTTTATTTGAGATCTTCTGGTGTCCAAGAAATATGAAAATTTACTTCAAGTATGAAGGCTATCTAAACTCTAGAAAAGAAGATAGACTATAAAACTTACAGCACATTCACAGGGGGCAACCTAAAAGTGAGTTACTGAAAAATCAAGGTCAAAACTTTAGGTTAAATAAGTTTAAAACATACATTAGTCTCTGTTCTTCTTTAAAAGTATTGATTGCATTTTCAATTTCTTCCATCATTTCTCTGAGCTTTTCAACAACTGTAAAAAAAACACACAATGTCATATTTCAATATAGCTGAGTTAATAATCAGGAGAAGATATGGACTGTCTCAAATTTAAAAACATTTCTTTGCCTAAGAAATTAAGAAAACTGCTCACAAGTAAATTTTTGTGATTACAATTTCTTTATTACTAAAGGTATTTTCCTGAACACCCATATTATTAAATCCTATAATCAGTATTTCTTTTATAAAAATGATTTCATACCACGCACACTATTGTTTGACTTACAAATTTTTATTTAAACGTTTTGGTTAAAAAATGTGGACAGTCAGACACAGTGGTGCACAGTTGGGAAATAGAGGCAGCTGAATCTGTGAGTTGGAGGGCAGTCAGAGCTACATATTGACACCTCAAACAAATAAACAAACAAAACAACAGTTATGCTTACTTTGCATGTAAGTATATATATATAAAACTGCCTATCTTTTTCTATGGCAACATATGGTATTTCATTGTATAAAACAATTTGACTCATTTAATTCTCCTGTCGATGAACCTTTAAATATACTCAGTGATACAGTAAAAAATCCTTTCTTTTTTAAGCATGTCCAAGTAAGTATTTTTAAAATGACTAGCAAAACTTGAAATGCTGGGCAAGGAAGTTCATCTACACTACGCTAGACTTACTCCTCTGTAGTGCAGAGGTTCTACTGACTCATTCTCACTGCCTTCCTCCTGTGTACCTTAAACCACTCCCAAAATAAGGCAAGAACCTAGCTGACAGTTTTGTGATTATTAATAAGCAGAGGCATTTGTTTCAACTGAGTTTTATATTTCTTTTGATACACTGAGTGCCTTATAATCTCTGCCCATTTTCCTATCACTGTTTATCTTGGTTGCCCTAATTTGTGGACATTGTATATATCTTATGAATATTTAATTATTAAATTATATAAGTAAATATACTTTTCTAATTTGTTTTTCAATAATATTTGTGGGCCTAAATGTTTTTAAAGTAATCAATTATGATCAGTTTTTCTTTAGATTTCTGTTCTTACACAACAGAGTGTTATCAAAAAGTTGCTGCATCTTCCTTCAGCACGTTAGGCCTCATTTAATGTATGAATACTACCCATTCTTTTCTTTTCCCATTTGCCAGTTTTAGTGCTTGCCAAAGTCCAAGTGCTGCACCTAGCCTCTAGACCACTGCTCCATTCTATCCTGCCCCAAACCCTATGAAAAGGTCTATGATCTCCACTGCACAGCATAAGAAATGAAATCTCATAGAGATGTTCTAACCAACAAGTGACAGACCAAGGCTTTGATCCAGTGTATTCCAAGTCCACACATCTTGAGCACTATGCTTTGAGCCTTCAGGAATGAATTTTGAAATAGAAGATGGGAATGTGACATTTTTTCTCTCTCTCCTAAACTAGTATTTGTCCCAGTAGTCAAACCATTCTTTACGCATGTGAAGTACTTCTGAAAGGTAATCTTTTCAAAAGTCAATAGCAGGATAAGGGCTAGGGGTTGGGAAAGCAGTCTTTTTCCACTTGGCTGGCTGAACCTGAACCTTCCTGTGCCAGTGTTTCCACCTTATAGTGTCTCTTCTGCCTATTTTACAACATTAAGGACTGAATGGCAGCTCAAAGGCTGAAAGTCCTACATAAACTCTGATAGCACACTTCTCCACTCTACCCTTATTAATCCCTAACTAATACAGTAGGGCTGAATCCACCAATGCCAAATGGAAAAGAAGAGACACTTCTAGAAAAGCATACATTTTCTAATGCACCGACAGGAAAGGGCAGTATATAAGAGAATCTGATATTGAACTCTTCTTACAGTCAGGTGTAGGCTTCACATCTTTCAGCTGGTGCTGAAGTTTCTTTACATTGTTATGTATTTTGGCCAACTGTTGCTGGATTTTTGCTCCTGTAAGGAAAAGTCCATACTATAATTCTGTGACAAGAGTGGCTACAACGGGCTTCTGCACATAAACTCATGCAGCCCTTTAGTGAAAGATATCCAAGATCAACCAAACAGCAGCCATTATTGTCAGATCCTTCTGAACATCAGGGATCACTGCTCTAAATAAAGCATCTCAGTTTCCCCCAGTGTCTGAAAGGAAGGCTGGTTCCATTTACTGCAGATCTGTGGCATGGAGATGTATCTTTCTCCTTCTGTGAAGACCAACGTATAGACTATTGTTTTAAAAGCATGCCAAGTAACTTAAGCTTAACATGTTTTATTCTCTCTTTGTTGTTGTTTTGTTTTGCTTTTGTTGGTTTTTTTGTTTTTGTTGTTTTGTTTTGTTTTGTTTGAGACATGGTTTCTTTGTGTATCTCTGGCTGTCCTGGAACTAGACCAGGCTAGGCTTGAACTCACAGAGATCCTCCTGCCTCTGCCTCCCAAGTATTAGGATTAGAGGCGTGTGCCACCAACGCCTGGCTCATATGTTTTGTTCTTTAAAAAGTATCTTTCTTTTTAACTAGAATTTATAAAAAAATAAACTGATTTTAACTTTATTTTCAAAATATTAAAACTGTCTAACCAATATTAATTTGTGTGTGTGTGTAGGCATGTGCATGCGTGTGCGTGTGTGAGTGGGTGATGTACCTAATTTTACCTGTGCATATTGCATGCACATGTGTGAACATGTATGTGGAGGCCAGGGGTCAATGTCAGGTGCCTGACTCTATTGTTTTCTAACTTAACTAACTTTTTAGTAAGAGGGTAGACCTACATCTTAATTTCAAAAACTGTATTACATTTATTTATATGTGTATTACATGTTATAGTGCATGTGTGGAAGTCATAGGACAACTTCTGGGAGTTGGTTCTCTCCTTCTACCATGTGGGTCCCAGACAGCAAATTCCAGTCATAAGGCAATGGCTTCTACCTGCCAAGCCATCTTGCTGGGCCCTCCACTGTTCATTTTTGAGGCAAGGTTTCTCACTGAACCTGGAGCTCATCGATCCAGCCAGGTCGACTGAGCAGTGAGTTCTGGGTGTTTGCCTGTTTGCACTCCCACAGCAAGGAAGATGCAGACTACACCACCACACTTGACTTTTACATGGCAATTAAGAATCTTAACTTGGATTCTCAGGCCTTTTCTTTAATCCATGACTAATATTAATTCTATGAGACTGACAAAGTTCTCATTGTGTTTTAATTTCTCCTAAACACATGCTCTTAAAAGGTACCTACTGATTTCTATACCACAAATTGCCAAGAATAACTGAAGAACCACCCAGAAATAAAATGGCAGGTGGATAATGAAAAGCAGAAGAACAAAATAATGACCTGGACATTTTCAGATGCTCAGCACCAGAAAGGCTGGTTTATCCCTTCCTCATTCTCTAAAGTGATCATGCTGGTATGTGTATTTAGATTAGTAGCCTTATGGTATGAATACCAGCACTCATTCATATCTATGCAAATGACAGGATCATTTTGTCTTTGCAACTTGTCACAAGCATTAAACACCAATGACTTCATTACAAAATTCCTTAAAGGCAACTTTTTCAGGGCTGGTAATCAAAACCAGGCTTTCTTGTATACACACAGCAAGTACTAGAACACAGATAGCAGTTTTTGGTTTTTATTTATCAATAAGTTTGGAGCCATGGCCAATATCCAGATTAAGCCTCCAAATATGAGTATTTAATTTTGGCATGGTTCCACTTTTAAACAAACATACAAAATCTTAAGCAAATTCTTTACATTAAAACTCTTTTTATCTTGATTTATATGTAATATGTATCCCTCTCTGTCTCTCTCTCTCTGTCTCTCTGTGTGTGTGTGTGTGTGTGTTGCTCACACACGTGTGTAGGTCCCAGTGGAGGTCAGACAAGGGCACTGAATTCTTTGGAGCTATCTATCTTACAGGAGGTTGGGAGCCTCCCAGTATGGGTGCTGGGAACTAACTCCAGTCTTCTGCCCAGCCATGTCTCCAGCCCCTGAGTTCCACTTTTAAAGTTCCACTCTATAAAATTACAGAGGTCAACAAGACACAGAAACACCATCCCTTTACTAAAGCTTGGTCCTCTATGGGAAGTCTAGACCCGCCCTGAGGCAGAATGTAGCACTGGCGGGCAAACCGTAGCACTCAGGAGGCAAAAGACATGGCGGGTGATGGACAGGGTGGAAGCTGATGAGGGAAGGAAAGGAAGGAACTCTGTGAGCAAAAGTTAAAACATTATCAAGTGGATTATTTTTGCCACAGCTCATCACTTATGCAATTATCTTATTTTTTGTCATTTGGAAATGAAACACTGTACAGTCATACACAAGCAACAAAAATGCAGGCATTTACCAAAAACCAAGGTCTGATCCCTGAGGTAAGGAATAGTTATTTACTTCTTCAGAGCTGTGATCCTTAAGGAAAAGTGTCTCTCCACACAGAGACTAGCTGTTCCCTCCTTTCTTAGACAGGACACAATAATGAATGCCAAAACTGAGAGCAGAAAACAGTGAAGGAAAGGAAAGCCACATTGAAAAGGAGAAAATGAGTTGGACACGGGGGCATGTGTCCAATACCAGCCTTTGGGAAGTGGGACTCAAGAGTTCCAGGTCAGCACTGGCTACACTGGGAGCTCAAAGTCAGTCTGGGCCACAGGAGACTTTATTTCCACAGAACAAAACAAAGTGCAAAACAAGCCAGCTACAAATATACAAGTTCAGATCCTCCATTTAAGGACATCAGCAAAAAGTGAAGATGAGCCGGGCAGTGTGTGCAGAAGTGACAGCAGCAGTCATTGAGACATCGCCATCTAGACGTCTTTACAAATTCAAGAATGGAGACGTGACAGGTGTATTTCTAATCTATTCTATTCCTATCCAGCAGAAGGGGGAGAACGAGTCTTGCTACTACATGACAAAAGATGACTTTTTAAAAATGCCATGATCTTATATTTAGAAAGGAAAATCACTAGAAATTTTTTAAATTGTAGTAAGTCAGGAGCAATTTAACCTCTATCTAGCAAATCAATGTTACAACATAACATACAGCATAACAAACAGCAACATGTTCACTGTAAAATCTGTCAGGTATTCTCTTGTATTTCATCTCGATATCAGATGCTGTTCTGAGGTAGAAACTGTAGTCTTAGACCATCGATAAGGAAATCCAAGCTTGGGCAAGAACCTGTGTTGTCACTTTGTTCAACTAGTGGTGTGGACTCTGACTCAGCTGACACTTACTGGGTCTAGTGCTCAGTCCACAATGCCAGGGTGATGTGCTAGGACCAGAAACAAAGTATTTTTATTGTTATAAATACTAATGGCATTTCCTGAGCTATCAACTCAAGTCTTTCCTATTAATATGGAAGAGACAGACTTAGAAAACAATTCAGTTAGAATGACTAAACAGTGTCTTCAAAACAAAACAAATAAATATCCTCTAAGAGACAGACTTATCACCAGCCATATATTTCCATGGAGCCACAACAGTCTATGCACAAGTACAACACAGGACAACACGATGCTTTAGATCACCCAACAGTCTATAATTCCTCACAAACCCAACTTACTTTCTATCTTCCTGCTGTTTATCAGTTTATTTTCCAACTCTTCCAGCATGCTATGTTCAGTTCTGAAGTCACCTCTTTGGTTGTAGAAATGACTGTGTTTATCTTTCTCTATAACAATAACTCTTTAGGAAAAGAAACAAATGGTACAAACACAATTTAAATGTATTTTAGTTGTTTAATGTATGAAGACACTCAAAATAATTAGTACTTTACATTCAAATTCATTTAAAAAAAGAAGAATGTGATTATTACTTAGACTACTAAAATTAAGGGGTTAAGATATCAGCTAATATTAGCTAAAATTGAACTTATTAAGTTCAAATTTAACCAACTATAATTTGAACTGTTACATATTTCCTTTGAAAATACAGAAGCCTTTAGCTATGAGGTTCTAATTGTCAGTTACCATCCTCAAGTAAAACAAACAAAATGAAATATACTATACCATGGAGGCCTTATTTTTTTTAAGTTGTCAAAGAAATCAATTTTCTCAATGTTTGTTTCCTTCTCCCACAAGGCAAATAAGAACATTTACCCTCTAATCTTGAATCTAATATGCAGCAGGATTTCTCTAGCCAGTGGGGTCATTGCATACAACCTGAGAGGCAATGTTTTCTGTTTTTTTTTTCTTTTGCAGACGGCAGAGATTTATAGAGAACAACAAGTGATCAACGTGCAGAGATTAAGAAACTGTAGAGTGCTCAGATGCAAATGGAACATCAGATTAACAACCCATTCCCAAGGCTCAAGGATGACTGAGGAAGATGGAGAGGGCAGTGAAACATTATTTTCTGGGCGTGACATGGATATTGCACACTTGAACTCCCAGCAGCTCTAACTGCTTATACAACACTTGTCTAAGATCAAGCCAGCCAAATTCCCAGTCTGTCATGAATGATGCCCCACCTCTAGCTGAAAAGCTATTGCCAACTAGTGGTCCCTGGAGGAGGGAGATGAAGTTCTCTCCCAGGATGTAGGTCCTGAAAAGATACCCATGCTTCAATAGACGATCCTATACTCATGCATATGGAGGCAGCACTACATGAACTCAGTGGGTTGAAAAGAGGGAGAATAAGAAATCACAGGGTGTAAAGAGGAAAAAATGGTGTGGAGGCAGGAGTTAAAAGGAAGGAACTGGGCCTACATCAATCATTTACCAACTTCGTAACCAATGGGAACTATAATCCTCACTCAAAAATATTCAATAAAGTGCCTACCTACATTGTAGAATAAAATGTATTCAATTTGTTATTTGATATGTAAGATATAAGATATTATTTTGTTTTCCTTAAAATACACGAATATAAAATGGTAAAAAAACAAGACAATTTCACTTACAATTAATTTATACTAAATTAACTACGCATTTCATACCTCCCTCCTTCTTCTTGTTATGTTTTTCAGGATAGTGATTAGAAGTTTCCTAACAATGTTATATTGATTTTATATTGTTCACTATAAAATAGCTAGTGATTTTATTTGAAGACACTACTCTTATACTCACTGATTCTTTAATTTTTCTGCTGTGCGCATGAATTCTGCTTTCTTCATCCGACTAACTTTCTGCTTCCAGTTCTGCAGCTGAGAAGGACGAATCCCAGCAGAAGTACTAAAGCCGCCCTCATTCTGCATAAAGAACAGAGCATTCATCACCAGTATAATAAAGAGCAACCTCTTTCTGGAGATGATCGTACGGCCACTCTAGTTTTTTAAAAAACATACTTTGGGGGCTGGAGAGATGACTCAGTGGTTAAGAGCACTTTGATCCTAGCATTCCCTCTGAGGTGTTTCAAACATGTCTCCATAACAAAGGAGAAATTCAGCTTTGGAAAGCTTTCATCATTAATAAATTGTAAATTATATATATATGTATATATATATACCAAATAATGGTTTTAAAGCAAATTTCTTAATGATTTATTATCAGTAAATGATAATAAATTTTATTTGCCTTCACACCCAAGGTCACATAAAAATTTCTCACTCATCAACCCACATGCCTATGAACACCTAATTTTTGACAAAGAAGCTAAAAATATAAAATGGAAAAAAGAAACATTCAACAAATGGTGCTGGTATAACTGGCTGTCAACATGTAGAAGAATGCAAACAGATCTGTATCTATTGCCAAGCACAAAACTCAAGTCAAAGCCGGGCGTTGGTGGTGCACCCCTTTAATCCCAGCACTCGGGAGGCAGAGACAGGCGGATCACTGTGAGTTGGAGGCCAGCCTGGTCTACCGAGTGAGTTCCAGGACAGGCTCCAAAACAATACAGAGAAACCCTGTCTTGAAAAAAACAAAAAACAAAAACAAAAAAAACTCAAGTCAAAATGGATTAAAGACCTCAAAATAAATCAATCCACACTAAAACTCATAGAAAAGAAAGTGGGAAATACACTTGAACTCATAGGCACAGGAGACCACTTCCTAAATAGAACACCAGTAGCACAGACACTGAGAGCAACAATTAATAAATGGACCTCCTGAAACTAAGAAGCTTCTGTAAAGCAATGGACACAGTCAACAAGACAAAATGGCTGCCTACAGAATGAGAAAAGATCTTCACCAACCCCACATCTGACAGAGGGCTGATTTCCAAAATAGACAAAGAACTCAAGAAACTAGACATCAAACTACAAAATCATCCAATTAGAAAATGGGGTACAGATAAAAACAGAATTCTCAACAGAGCAATCTCAAATGGCAGAAAGTCACTTAAAGAAATGCTCAACATCCTTAGTCATCAGGAAAATGCAAATCAAAACCACTCTGAGATTCCATCTTACACTGATCAGAATGGCTAAGATAAAAAACACCGATGACAGCTTATGCTGGAGAGGATGTGGAGAAATGGGAACACTCCTCCATTGCTGGTGGGAATGCAACTTGTACAGCTGCTATGGAAATCAGTATGGTGATTTCTCAAAAAATTAGGGATCAACCGAGCTCAAAACCCTGCAAATACCACTTACGGTATTGCACATTCACACCACAAGGACATTTGCTTAGCTATGTTCATAGCAACATCATTTTTAATACCCAGATCTTGGAAACAACATAGATGCCCCTCAACTGAAGAATGGATAAAGCAAATGTTGTATATCTACACAATGGAATACTACTCAGTGGTAAGAAACAATGACATCGTAAAATTCGCAGGCAAATGGACAGAACTAGAAAAACCCACCTGACTGAGGTAACCCAAAACCAGAAAGACAAATATAATATGTACTCACTCATAAGTGGACACCAGACATAAAACAAAAGATATCCAGCCTACAATCCACAACCCCAGAGAAACTTGAACCCTCTTCCAGAAGCAAATGGAAGCTAAGCACATTCTTAACCACTCTCTTGACAATGAGGAACAACAGCTAACTCTGACAGAGCCCACCTGATCTTCCTTGAGCTCCAGCTGCTTGTGCCTTGTGTGTCACACAGAAGGAACGTTCACCAGTGGAAGGTCGTAAAGACCTGTGCCAGGTCTAACTTCTAACACCAAGGTCTCTGATCTAGTCTTTGCGAATTCATGTACACAGCATGGGTAGAGACTAAACTGCTGTGTGATTATCCAACTGGCCCAACATCAACAGTTGAAAGACCTCTTTCCTTATTGTCTTAGTGCACTTGCTGAACCTCACAAATGTAGATCTGGTTTTCGACTCTGCCGTTAAGCCAGTACTACATTTGGTTTATGGCTATAGTTACAGAAGCTTTGAAGCAATTTGAAAGTAAAAATTATGAACAATTTAATAGCATTCTTTAAGAACTTTTTTTAGGTACCTTGCATTCTCCACATGAATTTTCAGTGTTGTTGACTTTTAATTAACTAGTTTTGTTTGGTGTATGTGTGTGTGTGTGTGTGTGTGTGTGTGTGTGTGGTGTGGTGTGATGTGTGCCCTAGTGTGTGTACAGAGACCAGAGAAGATCAGATATCCTGCTCTACCATTCACCACATTATTTTTTTGAGGCAGGATCTCTCACCAAGACTGGATCTAAGCTGGTGGCTAGCAAACTCCAACAATTTTGTCTCTGCCCTCCATAGTGCTGGGGTTATAAGTGCATATAGCTACACCCAGCTTCGTATATGAGTGCTGGAGATTTGAACTCAGATCCTCATGCTTGTGCCATCTCCCCAGCCACTGTAGAGCTTTGCAGGTATAACTGTTGCACTTATCATTCAACATTATATATTTATTGACCATGTGACTGGCTGCTCTCCTCCTCCCACATATGCTACCATTAATCGAGTTGTTATAAGGCTGTGGGCCTTCAGTGAAATGCTGAAAAGATGGAGTCATCTATTCCCAGCCTCAGTCTCAAGGGCCTTGTTACAGTGGCAACAACAAAAGGCTGAAACAGTATTCAGGGTTCTCAGGTATTTATGGTGGATAGTCACGATAGAAAGGGAAGCAGAGACCATGGAGGAACACTGCTTACTGGCTCTCCAGACCCAGGTTCAGCTACCTTTCTTATGTGCCTAGGGATGACACTGCTCACAGTGGTCTGAACTCTCCTTCATCAATTAGCTATCAAGAAAACGCCCCACAGACATGCCCATATGCCAATCTGATGGAAACAATTCTTCGACTGAGATTTCCTCTTCCTGGGTATGTCCAGGTTTGTGTCAAGTTGACAAAAACTATGACACCACTGTGGTCACTGTCCAATGGGATCTGGCAAATGCTTGAACTAGTGGCAGTACTTGGTATCATCCGCATGATGCTGTCTGCAGGCATAGAGACGACAAGGGTTCTAGACTCAACAAGATTCCAGAGAAAAGCCTAGGAGGACAGGCAGTATGTATCAGAGTCAGATTCCCAACCAGGAGTCCATGAAGAGTAATGTATGAAGCTTTCAGGTTGAAGCCCAAGCTATAAGAGACACTCAATGTCATAGATGGTAGGAATGTAGAATATCAACCAAAGAAAGCTAGACACCAAGAAAGGGGCCAGAGTGGAAAGGTTCTACCCAAACCCATTGGTGCTCAAATCTTGACAGCCTGAGCCCAGATGCAAGGACTTAACATGTGGTCCTCCAGCTTTCAGTCTAGCTTTTATCCTGTCCCTCACTTCTTTCGCCCATTTTTCCTGTTTGGAATGGGAAAGGCTACTCTGTGCCACTGTGTATTTAAAGTAACTTTATTTTTTTTACACACAGTTAACAGACTGCCGGACCCTGGAGTTCAACTTTTGTATAGTACTGGAACTCCTGAAGTTGAACTAAATGCAGTTTGCACTATGAGATGGATGTGAGTTTTGGGGCCAGGAGTGTAATGCTACAGTTTGGATCTGAAATGGCTCCAACAGGCTCACGCTTTGCATGCTCGTTCACTAGCTAGTGATGCTGTTTCGAGAGGCTGTGGAGACTTTATGGAAGTGGGTCACTAGGGCAGGTATCTGAAGATCATAGCCTGGCCTCCAGTTGCCACTTAGTGCAGTGCTTCTTGGTCCTCCACAGTGGGGATGGTTTCTATCACATTTTCATCATCACGAACTGAGCCACTCAACAGTGTGGCATTTATTGTCATCATTGCCATCTTCTGTTTTCCAGACAGCGTAATCTGCATTGACCTATATTCATGTTTGCTGATTTTTTTTTCTTCCAGCTAAACCTGGGGTGGGGTGGTCCTCTCTGGTGTAATTTTGAGTTCTTGTACTTTTTAACCCCCCAAATTTGATTCTCTCTCTCTCTCTCTCTCTCTCTCTCTCTCCCTCCCGCCCTCCCGCGCCTCACCCCCCCCCCGTCTCCCTCTCCCTCTCTCTGTGTATGTTTGTGTTCTATTTAGTGAGATAGCATTCTCGTATTTTTTTTTTACTTCTTTAGGTATGATTCCCTTTAGTTCTTTGGATATAGATGGCAAAGGCTGTGCAAGGCCATACATCTGTAGTCCCAGATGCTCTAGAGGCCACAGCAGAAGAAAACTTGAACTCACAAGCTTTAAATCAGCTTGAGCAACATAGCATGTATCCATCTTGAAGTAAACAAAGAAACAAAAACCCAGCATAATTAAGATAAAGCCTGTCCAGCACACCCAATAGCTGGTCTTCCTCTTTACTGCTTTATTCCTTCCTAGTGTGAATTGTACTGTTTCTTTACATCTCATAATTTCTTTCCCTTGAGACTGAACACTGTGGCAAAGCCAAAAATCAACAGCAAGGTTTCTGGAGGGGGGAGAGAGAGGGGAGAGGGAGAGAGAGAGAGTTTTAGTACACAGAATACGAATAAAAGAATAAAAGTTTATTGTATAAAATTAAGGCTTCAGATTTCACAGTTCACCAAAACTAAAAAGAAGTTAGGTGCCTCTTTCCCCAAACTTTACTTTCATTTCCAACCATTAAAATGACCTGACCGGATGTTATCAAAACAAACACTGTAAATAATACCAAGTCCTTTCAAACTGGCTAATCCAAACGTTATTTCTTGGCATAGGTAATCTTCATAGCATGGGATGGTGTAATCTTAAACCCTTGTAAAGTATCTCTGGCAGCTCCAGCCTGCCCATCCATCATTTTCAAATTCTACAAATGCAATGTCATGCCTCCCAGGTACCAAGTGCACTTCCTTGAAACCAGGGAACTGACTGAACAGCATGGATAACATCATCTCATTCGTCTCTTCTGATAAACTATTAAGGAATAGGATATAACTTGGAGGATAACTGGGGACCTGAGGGTTTGGTGCTGCGTTTCCTTGAGTATTAGCTGAATTTGGTGTTCCCTGACCAGGCTTTTTGTCTGCAGCTGCTACAGACTGTTCCATGGTTTTAGCTTTCTTCTTTTCCTTGTCAGCGACAGTGCCATGCATTTTAGATATTATATAGAAATCTGATTTTGCATACTGAATTTGTATTGGTTTACCATAAAATGCTAACTGTCTCAAAGCATTTGTGGATGAGCCCAGTTCCTTAAGAGCCTGCCCCCTTACCTTCATGGTCTTTAAAGCCACAATATCTACCACATGTCCAAACTGAGAAAACAGGGCCTACAGGGATCTCTTCAACTCTTTTTCAATTTTATCATTCATATTGTTGATATAAATCATGTGATTTGGTCTGATATCCATGTTTGGGTAAAACCTTTGCAATAGCCTGAAGCCTGCCCCATCCAACTTGAAGCCAGCTTTTGGAGTTTTTGTTGCTCTTATGTTTAGTCAATTTATGAACTAATTTTGTGAAGTTTTTTGTGGCACTACAACCTCTGCTTGGTTACCTTAGCTGTCACCAACAGGTGAACAGAGACTCCTGGATACTTTGAGCCAACAAACTGAAACTGAAACACAACAAAAGTTAATCTTGTACAGTTCTGCTAATCAGGTATAAGTCAAGGTGTGAACCTAGAGAATATCACTAGTGTTTCAGTCACTAGTGTTTCAGTCACTGTGTGCAATTTCTGGTTAGTTCGTTATAGTAGGTAAAGTACTTGCAATGCCACATGCACTCCTTGTGGTTCTCATGCATCCACACACACACACACACACACATACACACACACAGACACAGACAAACACAAACACACACAGACACACTCACACACATACACACTCACACACAGACACACACACTCACAGACACAGACAAACACACACAGACACACATACACAAACACAAATACACACAGACACACTCACACACACAGACACACACACTCACAGATACAGACAAACATACTCACACACAGACATACACACTCACATACACACATAGACACAGACACACAAAAACACACCTTCTCTCTCATACACATACACACACACTCACAATAACAATAATAAGGTTTCCCAATGTTTTAAAGTCCTAAATCAACAACTAAAATGGCCGAAGGAAGTCTGAGAAAAGTAATTTTGGAAGGTGCTGTGTGACACTATTCCTGAAGAACTATGAGCAAACATTTGTTTAGTCCAACAGACCAAAGGACAACTGCCAAAGTCCAACTTGGTGAATCAATGAGCTTTACTGGGGTCACTTCAAGAGTATGGGTGACTTACAGAAGAAATGACTCAAAGACAGCTGCATCACCAAAGCCCACCCCAGCAACGGTGACAGTTCACAAAAGCTGGGAACCTGGAGAAAACTGCACAGCCTGCAAGCAGCTCAACTGGACAGTGACATCCAGACAAGACAGCTGGTCTCTGCTTCTTCCAGGATGCTTCTCTTAGCTACCTCTTCTAGGAACCTGGGCTCGTCTGAGAGTATCCCTCAGGAGATCTTCCTGCCTATATAAGCTTAGGGGGGGAGGGTCATGGTGCATTTGGTCAATCTCAGGAACTTCTTAAAGCTTCTGACTTTCTACTTCCTGCTTCTTAAGGAGCCTTTCTTTAGAACACCTGAAGTCTTTTTTTAAGATTGACTTTTATATGTATGGGTATTTTGATTGTATGTGTGTCTGTACACCACATATAAAAGTGGTGTCTGCAGAGACCAGAAGATGACTTTGGATCTTCTGGAACTGGAGGAACAGATGGTTGTGGGTCACCATGTGGGTGCTGGAAATCAAACCTAGGTCCTCTTGAAGAACAAGTGCTCTTAACCTTTGAGCCATCTTTCTAGCCCATATCTGGAATCTTAAAAGATCCTCCATGCAGGATGCAATGTTTTGCCTTTCCTTAGAACATTCTGAAGCTTTATGAGTTTCCCTCCAGGAGGGAGTGTTTTATTTTAGAGGAAACGTCTATACAATTAAAGGCTCTGAGGGCATAGGAACATATAATACAGAAGTACTAGAAAGCACAGACAATTTTACTTTCATAACAGCTGAGAAATGTATAACATTCCATACGCTAAGGGCTGTACATAAAGTATTCTATGAGACACCAGAGATCTTTCTCCCCTACATGAACACAGAGCAAAGACCATACAAATCAGCAAGAAAACAGTAAGAGGAACCTCACAGGAGACTAACCTCACAGCACCTGGAAGAGTGTCACTCCACCTGTGGTATTAAGGGAATTCTGATGACAGGAACTTTAGATCTTCTGGTAGAGACTTCTAATATCATGAGACTACTATGATAAAAATTATCTCTTCTCAAGAAAACATGTATGGTTTTAGGGTTAGTACAGATATTCATCAGGCATCTGACAAATACTGAAGTCCAGTGTGAGGGTGCAGGTTTTGTGTGTGTCAGTGTGTGTGTGTGTGTGTGTGTGTGTGTGTGTGTGTGTGTAGGCGGAGATCCTGGAAGGAGTATGAAGGGCAAACACATAAACTTGTCCAAAATATCACAACATAGTTCATCAGTGATTCTAACTTTTTCACATGTGTATGCTGTATGTGTTGGTACACATACATGAGGAGGTGAGCGGTTGACAACAGATGTCTTCCTTAATTGGTCTCCACCTTATTTATCTATTTATTTATTTCTCCCACTGAACGGAGCTCACTAATTTGGCTAGGCTGGCTGGCCAGCAAGCCCCAGGGACCTGCCAACTCTCCAGCATTAGGATTGCAGGTGCATGCTGTAGCACCCAGCCACAAACTCAAGTCTTCAAGGTTAGCAGCAAGTGTTTCACCAAGGCAGCCATCTTCCCAGCCCGTTTTAATTTAGTGGGGGAAAACCCTTAATATCCTTGAGAAACTCTACTTCATCACTACTGTGATTTTCAGCTTTGAGGTATACATTTTAGAGTTTTTCGATCTCAGTATGCTGACATTACTGAACAGTTAAGCTTTAATTTTTCAGTGGGAGACTGTCTTCTGGTCTCTAGTAGGTGTTAGTAGCACTTTTTAGGAGTAATAGTAGTTAGTAGCACATCCTGTTCATTGTGACAATCAAGGATGTCTCCAGGGATTGCTAAATGTCAGACAGTGAAACAGAACCACAGGACATCCTGATCCAAGCCCTGTAAAGTCAAATACAGCCTTTGCGAATCACCAAAACAGACTCCCAGTAGGGCATGTCAAGAAAGGCACTAGAATGCTGGTAGGAAGAGCACATGAGCATGTACAGCATGGCTATGGAGATCTGGGTGGGGAAGCCACAGGGAACTACATTATGGCAGAAAGTGTTCACGGAAAAGACATTCAGCATGATTATACCACTGGGATCACTTCTTCATTTTGGGTATTTTGCTTGTTTGTCTTGCTTTGCTTTGTTTTGAAGAAAAGTTCTTATTGTGCAACCGGTAGAGGCCTCTAACTCCTGACATTCCCACCCCTGCGTCCTGAATGCTGCGATTACAGGTATGTACCACAACCAAATGGCCATGCATTTTTAAAATATATACTTAAAAACACTTCACATAATCTATTTTAATTTTTTATTTTATATTTTCTCTTAAAATCTAAGTTATTTTAGGAGTTGTATAGATACAGGGAGAACGAGGAGAAAAATAAAGGATGTATAAGAAAGTCTTCCCTAAATGGAATTTTCTTAACTTCATTCTAGAAAGAACACCGTATTTCTTTAGAAAAGGAAGATGGAGCCAGTCCTGGCCTCACAGTAGGACTGAACCACAAATACTTAGTAGGTGCCTACTATCTTGAAGGCACCGTCTTGGGCACACAACAGGGACAGTCCTTGGGCTTCCGAAAATGTCTACCCTCCTGGTACTCACATTTTCATGGAGGCAGAAATATAATTCACAAACAGGAATAAAAATATGGAGCATAGCGCTATGAAGAAAAACTGAAACAGAAAAGGGTATCTGAAGGAAAGATTCCCATTCCACCCTGCAGAGATGGGGTCCTTACGACCCCCATCTTGGTAAACACCTATTGGATCCCTTCTTGCACCGATGCACTCAACAGACCCAGAGCAGCAATCCTGGTGCTCAGACTCTCTCCACGCCAGCTTCTCTCACTGCCGGCTCAGCACCCGGAGCTCCCATCACTAGCTCCCATTTTTGAAGAAAGGGATTCTACCACACGGCGCGAGGAAGCGGCGGCCCGGGCTTCCACTGAGGCCGGACCCCAGCACCACACGGCCCCCGGGCTCTGGGTGCCATCGAACGCCAGGCCCGCCCGAGCAAGGCCCGAGCCTCCGCCGTTACCTGTTGCGGCGTCGGCGCCGCTCCCACGTCGCTCCCCGCAGCCGCGCCCGCCCCCGCCACCGCCCCGGCAACTGCCGTGGCCGCCGCCGCCACCACCACGGTAGTCAGGGCCGCCATGCTTGCTCGCCGGGACTCCCGCGGCTGCAGTGGGCGCTCACCCACGCTCCGCCGACGGTTCCCAGCCCTGCCGAGCCTGGGGGCGTGGCTTAGCGGGGCGTGGCCGTGCGGGGACGAGCGTTTCCAGGGCGGGGCGATGCAGGGGCGTGGCTGCTGAGGACCGCGGTGGAAGCTCAGGGCGGGACAGGGTTAAAGGCGGAGCTCGGGAGGGGCGGGGCCAACGCCAGCTTGTGGGTTGGAGATGAGGGTGCTGGACCTGGCTGGGGGGAACGAGGAGGACATGGGGTGGTGCGGCTCTGTTCGGTTTCGTATTTCTATCAGCTTTGCTAGTGCTGGTGTCTGTTCTGTTCGCCCACGCCCATAATTGCTGAGAAATGCGTTGTCTTCCTTTAAATTGTATTCGTCTTAAACGAACATAAACGTGTTTTTCATCCGATAGAACTGTTTCCTATTTCTGTAAGTGCCGGTGAAACTTAGTAAACGGTAAAGCCATGTGGTCGAATTCTAGGGATACACATTATTCTTTATTTTCAAAGAAAAATTATTTCCCGCAGAAGCAGGTATCAGAGCCAGGAACGCCATTGTTGCTTCCTAGGACTTACTCGTAAGATGAACGGTTCCTACGACTCCATGAGAAGTTGAGAAAACTGAATCTTCCTCTCAGAAGCAACCAGTCGCAATGGAGCTGGCTTCTATACTTCCGCTCCTCTTTTAAGTGAATGCATTCACTATTCTAGCTCCTGCTGTGTGGCACGAGCGGGTTCTAGATCCGGGCAATTCTTGAACTCCAGACGCAAGATGCTTCTCATGACTTCTAGGAGGGAATCTAAGCAAGTAAACAAGCCCTGCATTTAAGAGCAAGTCCTTGGGCAGCCCCGCTGTGTGCGCGTGTGCGTGCGTGCGTGCGTGCGTGCGTGCGTGTGTGTGTGTGTGTGTGTGTGTGCTTTGCCTAGGCATTCCTATTAAGTCACCACAAATAGGTAGGTTTAGCTAAGCAGTTTCAGGGACAAAGTTAGGAAAGACTAGTCTGCACAGGAAGAGACCAGGATACAAACTCAGACCACTGACTCCAGAGGCTTCAGGAGGGACCGTCAAACAGACTGTGGGTGAGATGCCAGCGCATCTCCAAAGATGTGGATTTAACCTTCTCTACTTTACACAGACGATTATTACATACAAAGAAGATCATTTTGAGTAAGATTGGATGAAATTTCTGGGAGGGATATAAACTGGAGTCTGATGGCAGGGTCTAGAACCTTCTACGTTGGCTGCTGCAGACAGAAAACTGAGCCTAGGGACAGAGGAACCTGGATTGTGGAGTTCATAGAAGGAGATGTGTATCAGCACTGAGAGCTGCTGCCTGGCAGTCTAGTGACAAGACAGAGAAATGACAGCTGGATTGGTCAAAAAAGAGGCTATGGGCCATCATGACAAAAGCAGAGCCAAGTGGGTGGGAGAGAACAAAGCCTGCTTGAGTGAGCTGAAGGGTGAGGAGTACAGTGATCCCAGAGTTGAGGTGGTAGCCGAGGGAGAGACTTTGCTGGGGTTTTTGTAAGGACTCGTAGAGAGCATTTGCATACCGCTTAAATGACTCAATAAAGAGCAGAAGTTTGATGCTGCAGAACAGAACAGCAACCGATACCATGGGAAAGCAAAAGGGATGGAGCCCAGGGCACAGGCAAGGTTTGCTCACAGACCCGCAGCCGGCTAGTTTCAGGTATAGCCCAGGACCACCTACTCAGGAGACAGTGCTTTCCACAGTGAAATGGGGTCTCCTACATTAATTAAAAGTCAACAATCCCCCTCAGACATGCCCACAGACCAATCTGATCTAGACACTTTCTTAGATGACCCTAGACTGCATCAACTTGACAGTCAAAGCTAAAACTAGGACACATCTTTGGTGTGGATTGAAATTTTGTGGCCACACCACATAGTAATTCCTTCCTAGATTACAGAGACAATCACTTCAAAAGGAGTATCAGATAGTAATCTGAGAGTTCTTGATTTTACGGTTCGATAGAACAATAAGCCCAAATGCCATCTACATATGCTATTAGACACAGAGAAAACACCTCTCTGAAACATTAACTCCTAGGTAAAACAAAACCTCTTTCCACTAAAATATTCTTGTCCAAGAATTCTAAATCACAGCCACATCCTTTATATAATGTACAAGTTAAGAACTTGTACATTGAGGAAATGATATCCATGCTTGGTGGTGCAAGTCAGTAACCATGCCAGTTGATATACTGAGGCAAAAGGGTTATGAATTCCAAGACCACGTGGGCTAATATACCAAGACTTGTTTAAAGAAAAAACAAAAACAGAAAGGGAATGGAGTCTGGGGAGACCAGGAATGTTGGAAAGTTTTCAACTGTCATATATTAATATGAAAATCTGGACTGGCTACCCTCTGAGAAGCTACTGCTCATCTCCTCCTCCTCCTCTTTCTCCTCCTCCTCTTTCTGAAACTCATCTTAATCTTTCTCTGCTCCCTTTCTCTTCCCCTTTCCTGTCTCCTGTGTCTGCTAATCCACCTTATCCTTCTCCGAGACTGACTTACAGCTTTCTGTTACGTAAGTGAGAACATACACCATTTGCCTTCCTGGATCTGACATGTTGTTCTCCAGTTCCATTTATGTTGGTGCAAATATCAGGATTTCATTGTTTTATATGATAATTTTCCATTCCGTAAATATACCCACCCACTAAAGGGCATCCAGATTGGTTCTGGCTATTGTGAATGCTGCTGCAGGTGCAAGTATCTTTTGGTGTAACGACTTTGTTTTCCTTGGATATGAATCTAGCTTCCACTATATCAATGCGTGTTGGTAGATACAGCTCCTCACTTGGTGCCTATTTTAATCTTTCTTAGTGTGCCATCCATTACCACAGATGTTTAGAATCTTTATCTCTAAGGATCCTTTGCAGCTAGGGTTCCCAAAGTAGATTGTCTGTGGACTGGATCAAAGTTCTTATGCAACTTGTGATCTCAGAACAACTAAATAAGGTAGGAGGTGATTCCTGACGCATCCATTCTAGGGGTAGCTGGTATCATGTACAGTGAGACTCTGAAACCAACTCTGCTGTACCTTCTTCCTGACCCAGAGGTAGCAGATAAGAAGGTGTGTCCCTTTTGAAGGGTTGTGATGCCCGGTTCTCATTTTTGTTCTATTGCAGATAGATTTTTTTTCACTCAATATATCCTGGTTACGATTTCCCTTCCCACCTCCTCTCTTACCCATATCCACTCTCATTAGAAAACAAACAGGCTTCTAACGGATAGTGATAAAATATAATAAGATAAAACAAAAACTAACGCACTGGAATTGGATAAACAGAAGGAAGAGAGCCCAACAGAAGGCAGAAGAAGAGACCCACTCGTTTGTACACTTAGGAATCCCATTTAAAACACTGAATTGGAAGCCATAATATATATATGCACAGGACCTGCGCAGACCCGTGTGTGTTGCCCTAGTGTCTGTGAGTCTGTATGAGCTATGAGCAGGATGATGTAGAGGGTCTACTTTTATCGGTGTCCTCTGTCACTCTGGTTTTTACCCTCTTTCTGCCTCCTCTTCCATGAGGTTCTCTGAGCTCTGAGACGAGGTGTTTGATGGAGATGTCCCCTTTAGGAATGTGTGTTCCAGCCATCTCCCACTCTCTGCGTAACGTCTGGCCGTGGGTCTGCATTTGTTCTCGTCTACTGCAGGAGGAAGCTCCTCTGATGGTGTCTGTCCAAGGCACTGATCATGAGTATATCAGAAGGTCATTTCATTGCTATGCCTGTTGTAGCTCTTAGTATTTGGTTCTGCCCTGTGTCCTTGAGCTATTTATTCTGAGATTCTTGGTAGCCCAAGTAGTGCCATCTATGTATGGGTTCCATATCGCAGAGTGGGCCTTAAGTAAATTCTGATATGGCTTAGTTACTCCCACAAGCTTCCAACCACTATTGTACTAGCATATCTTGGAGGCAGGACACCATTATATAACAAAGAGTTTGTGGCCAGGTCGGTGTTTTCATTTTTATTTTCATAGCCTGCAGAGCGCTTTCCTGGACTGAAAAATAATAGAATGTAGGGGCGATGCTCTGTGTAGGCACCGTCCTGACTTCTCCATGCTCAGTAAGTTGTGCAGGTGTTGTCTGCAGCAATGGGGTTGTGCTGGCTAGTCTCAAGTCGAGTTATCTTCCCTCTCTGAGTTCCTGTCCTGACTTCCTTTGATGATGAACAGCAATGTGGAAGTATGAGCCAAATAAACCTTTTCCTCCCCAACTTGCTTTTGGTCGTGGTGTTTCGTCATAGCAAGAGTAACCCTATCTGAGGCAATCAGAAAGAAAATAAATAAGGAAAGGGAAGTCAATAAAAAAATCAAGTAAGAATGAGACATAGAAGATACACAATGGCAGATACATGTCCAGGTATATTAATAATTATGAGGAAAGACCAAGATTGTCAGGTGAGGCAAAAGTGCAAGGCCTAGATGTGTACTGTCTGTAATACACAAACATTTGCTGAAAGGATGCAAAAATGGCTTGAAAGTAAAGGGCTGGAAAAGGATTGCCACACAAATAGCAGCCATAGCAAGGACACATTGAGTAGAAAAATAGTCTGTAGATTTTTATGACACAAAAATGTTACTGTTAGAGACAGCAAACAAATATTTTCTAGTAATAGTGGGTCAATACATCAAGAAATAAAACATTTACAAATGACTATCTACTCAACAACAGAGTATTAGAGTACATGATTTTCCATCTTACCATTCTCCAACAGGTGTATTTTACCAAAATTATGATACAATAATTGAATGGCTATTTTTACCCGATAAAATGGTCAAAAAATGATTCCCTTTACTGATAAAATTTTCTTGATTAGTATTGCAGGGTAGGCTAAAGTGCCGTTCTCTGCTAGGAAAAGAGACTGCTCAAACAGCTGTCCTTTTGACTAATAAACAACAGGATATTTGGAGCCTGTAGGTTCTGCTCACACCAACTAGAAATTCAAAGAGCATCACCATCCATAGTCATTGGTCCAATGGTGTGGGGCAGGGTCACATGGACAGAGCAGCTACTTAA